GTGAAAAAGTATCTGCAGGATGTTACCTCATCCCTACTACCAACACAAACCTCAATTTTTTCTAACTTTAAAAGCATCATGGTGGACCAGGCTGAAAATTCAAGCATATATTCATAACAGAATACAACAACCAATCAATGGAATTTCCAACCCAAAAACTATAGTTATTTTATATTTCACAAGTACCAGGTTCGTATATCTGGTTGATTGAATGATTACCTGGTCCATGGTGGGAATCACATGATCTGAGAACACTTTCTGCTTCCCAAGAAAACAATTTGAATCTTCAAAATCTGTCCAACGTAACCCCCAAGCCATGCCAAGATGATAAAAGATCTGCATTGGTAAACACAAAATGGGATAAAAGGACACAGGACAAAATCTTACGTTTTTCTCCTGTTTTCCAATGAGCTACTCAATATTCATTAAGTGCAATCCACTAAAAAAATAGGCTGAAGGCTTGTTTTACGTTTTTTGTCATAGATGTAACCAGTAGATTTTCAATGAGTTCCAGAGATCTACAGTCGATTAAAAATGACAATTTAAACACATGATACACCATAAAGTCGACAAGCTAGAAAAACTAAAAGATGGAAACCATATGAAATGGAGAAATTATTGGGGCTGGAACAATGTGGTGGTAGTTCGGTAGTGATGCGAACCGAGAAGGATTTTTTATTAGAATGTGAAAGAGTTGCCTACAAATGAATAGGAAAGCTCCTATTTATAATAAAGGCGCTGGAAACTAGCCGTTAGGCTTATAACTAACTAACAGCTAGCAACTTAAGTCTTAACTAACAGCCTAACCGAAAATATGCTTAATAAGACTACATCAGAATTCACCCCCTGAAAAATAAAACTCGTCCCTTGAGTTATGTTGCCAAAGAAAAACCGTCCAGGGCTTCATAGTGTGTCAAATCTGCTACATTAAAGATAAGACTGAAGCTGTATTCCGGGGGTAGCTCAATCTTAAAGGCATTAGGCCCACACTGTTGGAGAATTGAGAAGGGGCCAATCCTCTTTTTATTGAGCTTATGAAATTTTCCTGGTGGAAGTTGACCTTTTCTTAAATAAACCATAACGAGATCACTCGTTTTGAAATCATGTTGCCTTCGTTTGTGATCAGCCAGTTGTTTGTACTTTGAAGTAGTAGCCTCCATATGCACCTGAACTTCCTAATGCAGTTGCACAATGCGTTCTGCCATTTGCTCTGCTTCTACATTAATATCAACATAGGAAGGTATATTGGTAGACCATAGGAAGGTATATTAGTAAGGTCTACCGTTAGACGGGGTAATTTAGTATAAACTACCTCAATGGAAACTTCCATGTGGTTCGATTTTTCATGTGATTGAAGGCGAACTCGGCTTGCGCAAGAGCAAGGTCCCATTGTTTTGGTCGGCTACTAGATAGACACCGAGTGAGGTTGCCTAAAGTGCGATTTGTGACTTCCGTTTGTCCATTGGTTTGGGGGTGGCTAGTTGTGCTGTACTTGAGTGAGGTGTCAAACTTGCGCCATAATGTGCGCCAAAAGTAACTAAGAAACTTGACATCCCGATCGGACACAATTGTCTTAGGAATTCCATGTAGCCGAACAACTTCTCGAAAAAATAGGTTAGCAACATATACCGCGTCTGAATTCTTTTTACATGCTAAGAAATGGGCCATCTTACTAAATTTGTCCACTGCTACAAGCACGGAGTCAAACCCACATTGAGTTTTGGGAAGACCAAGGATGAAGTCCATCGAAAGGTCTTCCCAGATGGATACCGGGATTGGAAGTGGTGAATAAAGGCCTCTATTTTGGGCTTGCCCTTTATTTGTTTGGCAAATGAAGCAGCGAGATACATAACTAAGAACATCTCGACATAGTTGGGGCCAATAGTACCGAGAGGACACTAAATTATATGTCTTGTCGCGGCCAAAATGACCAGCTAAGCCGCCGGGAAGTGCACAAGTGGTCCCCCTTAAAGAGGTACCCATCTAGTAAATGAAAGTCTTTTGTGTTACCATTATTTGTACAGTGGAGCCAAATATCTTTGAAGTCATCATCAGATTCATACGTGCTTGGTAAGCTTTCAAAAGCTATAATTTTCCCTTGTAGGATAGTTAAAAGCGTTCCTTTCCTACTCAAAGCATCAGCCGCTTTATTGGTAACCCCCGATTTATGTTTGATTATGAAATCAAATCGCTGGAGAAAAAAGAGCCATCGAGCATGCATTCGGCTTGTGTTTTTGTGTATTCAAGAACTTCAAAGAAAAGTGGTCAGTGAATAAGATAAACTCCTTGTTAAGGAGGTAGTGCTCCCACTGCTTAAGGGCACGAACTAAAGGCATATAATTCCTGCTCATACGTGCTCCAATTTTGGTGGGAAGGACTTAATTTTTCACTAAAATATTCAATGGGGTGGTTATTTTGAGATATGACGGCTCCTATTCTGATTCCTGAGGCATCTTGAAGGGTTGTGAGAAATCGAGGAGGGTAAGGACAGGATGTTCTACTAATTTATGTTGGACAGTCTGAAAACTTTCGATTTGACTAGGTCCCCAACAGAATTTCCCCTTTTTTAAACAATCTGTTAAGGGTGCAACCAATGTACTAAAGTTACGTATAAACTTCCTATAAAAAGATGCTATTCCTAAAAAAACATTGTATGTCTTTGACAGTTGAAGGAATAGGCCAATTTGAGATAGCTTGCATTTTCTTAGGATCCATTTTTACTGTATTTTGTCCAATAATAAAGCCTAAGAATGATAACTCAGTGGTGAAGAAAAAACATTTCTTAAGGTTAATAACTAAAGCATGCTCATGTAATGTAGAGAAGACTAGTTTAAGATGATTTATATGGTTGTTTTTTGTTTTACGATAGATGAGTATGTCATCAAAATAAACCACAACAAGCTTATTGAGAAAGGGAAGAAAAACCTGATTCATAAGACGCATGAAGGTGCTTGGAGCGTTAGATAGGCCAAAAGGCATTACTAACCACTCGAACAAGCCTTCATTTGTTTTGAACGCCGTTTTCCACTCGTCTCCTGGTCGAATCCGAATTTGATGGTAGCTGCTTCTGAGATCTATCTTGGAGTAGATATATGCACCTCCTAGTTGATCGAATAGATAGTTGATACGTGGGATAGGGAACCGATATTTGACTGTAATTTTGTTAATCGCCCGGCTATCCACACACATCCGTCAAGTGCCATCCTTTTTAGGTGTAAGTGAAGCTGGGACTGCACAAGGGCTTAAGCTGGGCTGAATATGCCCTTTGTCTAATAATTCCTGTATTTGCCCTTTGTCTAATAGTTCCTGTATTTGATCATGGAGGATCTTGAACTCACTCGGGCTCATGCGGTAATGGGGTAGATTGGGGAGGTGGCGCAGGGTAAGAGATCAATTTGGTGTTGAATATCACGGATGGGTGGCAGATTTGTGGGGGGTGTGGTGAGTGACGGGTATTGGTCTAATAGACTTTGAATATTGGCCTCTATCGTAGTGGGGGTATGATCATGGTTATTCTCAAGATGTTTAATTACCAAGCCAAGTACTGGGCCATCCTTGCTGGAAAATAGATGTTTTCCTTTAGAAAAATAGAAGAGCTGGCCTTTGTCCTTGGGTTTTGAAGTATGAGAACCCGTTAAAGGTAATAGAACGACTGTTTTCCCCATCCAGGAAAATTCATATGTATTATCCCTTCCTTTATGAGTTGTCTGAGTATCAAATTGTCAATGTCGGTCCAAAAAGACATGACAAACGTCTATGTCAATAACACCACAGATTATTTGGTCTTTATAGTTGTTTCCTACGGAAAGGGGCACAGTACATATACTTGTAACTTGTGCCTCCCTCCTTTTTTGATCCAACTGATCTTATATGGTGTCGGATGAGGAGAGGTTTACAAATTGAGGGCTGTCACTAGTTTGCTAGAAACTACATTTTTCGTGCTACCACTAGGGGTAATGACGTTGAATAGGAAAGCTCTTATTTATAATAAAGGAGCTGGAAACTAGCCGTTAGGCTTATAACTAACTAACAGCTAACAACTTAAGCCTTAACTAACAGCCAAACCGAAAATATGCTTAATAAGACTACATCAGGTAGTTTCATGAATGTATGAGTGAGAAATTACAAAATAAGTTCTTCTTTTCTTTTCTTTTTTTAACAGGAAAAATCAATGAAAAGAAACCTAAGTTCAAGGATATAATTACAAAATGAGTTTTTTAAAGTCTCAATTAAGTTTGGGCATAGTTGCAATTTGGTCTCCATGATTCTAATAAAAGTTTCAAATTTTGGTTCTTGTGGTTTGGTTAAACCTCATGAATTGTCCTAAAACTACTTTTTGTCCACCTGAAATTTCACCCATTTTTATTTATTTTTCACTCAAAACTAAACCATAATACAAGTAGTTATCACAATGAGTCAATACAAGAGGACACAAACTCATAACAATGTAAAAAAAGTGTCACGTAGTCAATACGATAGCTTCAGGGATGATTTGCAAGATTTGACCAAACCATATGGATCAAATTAAAACTTCCTTTTTATAAGAAATGGGCACTTTTCATGAAAAGAATTGAAATGTACAAAAGAACAAGGACCTACATGAAGGCTTTCCCAATTGGTCAATAAAGTTGGAAAATTGTAATTTCTTTTCTCTTAGAACAAGAAACAACTCCTCATTGATTAACAAAAAGGAAAAAAGTTCAAAGGATACAATCGGAGAGAAAAAGAAAATAGAGAACACAAAAAAGAAAAAAAAAGAAAAAGGAAATACAACCAAAAGAATAAGAAAGATGAAACAATAAGGAGGCAGCCAAGGAGCACCACGACATAAACCGAAGACCTTCAAAAACAAAGAGCCAATCTTGAAACACCAAAGGACTTCAAAAACAAAAACTTCTTGGATGAAGAGGAAACCAAAGTTGGAGAATCTTCTAGAGCAAACTCATGTTTATTCAAATCGAGGTGATTCATGGAAAGTAGTTTTGGAGAATTCCTCTTCTAATTTAGTATTAGCATGTGGATGGTCAAATAGAAACTTTCAAACCACAGAGATCTAATTGAAATTGAACTCAAACTATAAGGACCAAATTGAAACTTTTGAAACCATACAAACTAAATTAAAAATTAGCCCAAACCACATGTGACATGGCCCAAATTTCCTTTCAATGTGTTTGCTTGCAAAATGTGGCATTATAGAATAGTTTCAAATCTAGTGTCTAGTGAGGTGGAATACTAAATCCAAGAAAATCTCTGGTTCTCATTGCCCTCAAATTGACAAAATGAAACAATAATAAGTTACACACCTGAAGCTTAATAATGGTTGAATATATATATTCAGTGCTCTCTTCACTTGCATGAGTTATGGACCAGACTAGCTCCTACAATATAGTATGAGTGAGTAAACATACAATTCCGAGCTCAGTCAACGCAGATAAAAGAGACAAATACCACCTGCTTTGAATCTTTGAACCTTCTGTAAAATTCATCAAAATCTCCTTCTTGCAATGCCCGCAAACAACTAATATTTCAGCATGCAGAACCCAGAAAAGTTGTACTAGTGTGAGATACAGAATAAGACTACTATTATCAGGTAAATTAATCATAGTTTTAGTATAGATTTATTTGTTTGGACTTATTTGAGCGTGGGATTGGGAAGTCTGGGTTTATTAGAATTGTGATTGAGTTGTGTTGAAGAATGCAGGGTAGAAATTTGGGTTTGAATAACTTGTGTTTGGCTTGTAGTTGTAGAAAGGAATGATTTCATTAAATTTGAATTTGTCTAACATGTGTTTGATGAGTAGGTTTGGGATCTGTAAGTAAGAAACTTGGATGATTTTTTTATTCATCATTAACATATAAAAAATGAAGGTATAAATTAAATGTAGTAAATTAAATGAGTTGGTGCGAGATCGAACTCAAAACCTCTTAGTTGGAGATATATGTCAATTACCACTCAGCTATGCTCACTTTGACATCATAATATTTACTTATGAAATTAGTAAGTAATATTTCTAAATGACAATATTTTCATCCTGTAAGGGCATGACTTAATTTAAGACTGTTGCTCATGGGATCTTAAGTGAATAACAAAGCATAATGATAAGAGACTAAAAGATAGGTTGCTATTTTTGCAACTTCAGCTTTTGCATCAAATACCTATGCAGGTTTTCGTTGAAATGAATATTCTTGATCTGATAGCTCGAAGAACCAGAATCAGATCCTGCATAAAGCAAGGAAAAGTCCCAGTTTCCTGCACGCCAGGCAGCTTCATACTGTACCCATAAGATCACACAACAATCAGCTTGATTAAATTGTAAATTACAGACACATAGTGAACAATGAAACAAGCTGATGATGTAACAACAGTGTTATAACAAAAGAAAAGAAAAGAAAAATTAAGTTTGAAGGTAAACCTGCAGTTCCATGAATTCTAAATCATGCTGAAATTGGTCATCCCGGAATGTTAACCCTTGGCAATATAAGTCCAGAACATGAGCACAACCAGTTTTCTGCAGAGATCTAATAACCCCCTTGTAAGGTTTCCAATGTCCTGATACATCTTCCAAGGTAGAAATTGATTGATGACGTTTTGTTTGTTCGACACTGTCCTCTTGTACCATGGAATCTGATCGTACTCGCAAATCATAATATTCAAGGGCCTTGCTCCAGTTTCCCTCATGCTCAAAGGTGATGATTTGTGATGTCAACTTTAGTAGTCACCATTATACATGCAAATAAACACAAATGAGGATATTTTTCCAAATAATAACTTGCTTTTGTTTGAATACACATGTTCATTCATTTTGGATTGGACTACTGACTTTTCTATGGCTTAACAAGTGGGGGAGGAAATGAAATAACTTAAAATATGTTAAACATCTTGCTACTTGTTGATACAGGTAATTACTCGAAGTATAATAAACCAGTTAGAATAAAATTACAACTTCTTTGTGAAATACTTGAGCTACAAGCAAATATATGCTGGCTCACCTTGTGAGAGCGTATAATTCCGTACAAGCTGTCGGGTTCATTAATTCGAGTGACTGCTGAGACAAGTATTTCAATATGACGTGGTAGCTGATGCAGTAAAGAGCACAGAGAGAGAGCAATTAGACAATTAAGTTTCTTTGAGCACGTTGGAAAACAATGCAGAATATTATTGCCACTATTAATGACTCTATAACCTCCTACATTTATTGATTACTTCGTAACGAATAAATAGTTGTAGACTTACTCTATTATCTACAGTCTGAGGGAATACCATGCACCAATAAACCAAAAAGAGTACAAATGCACTTTCTGAACACAACTTACCATTTCAATGAAAGAAAAATCTGGGGTCCCCAAGGTAAGGCATCCAAAATGCTCTTCACACCAATGCTCAACGTACATAACAGAAGTAAAGTATGAACCAGAATACTACAAAAAGATACTGAATTTAAGAAAAACTGACGTGAATATTAGATACTTAACACTAAGGATAAAATATTAAAATAGGACGTTTAAACTAACAACTGCAGCTTTAGCGACAATGAGGTAGTCGATGGAAAGCCAATAAACCTGCATAAACAAATAACTTATCAAAAAAAATATCCTTTTGGTAAATTATGCAATATAATCAATAGCTAATCCTTATTCATAGATATGGTATGTGAATCATACTTTGTCCCAGGAGAATGGTGACATCACAGAAGCATTTGATGCACCCACTAGATCTCTCGCATTTATTGAGGTAGAACGGGATTTAGAGCTCTTACTTGATGCCTTAGAAGACTGAAGGATCAAAGAGGTATATTAGCTTATAAACTATTGCAATCGATAGAGTCAAGTAATAAATCCTAAAAAAAGAAGGCTCATAATAACCACATTAAAGATCAACGTTCGTTGTTTCGGAGCAATTATAATAACGAGTAATCAAAAAGTACTATTAATATAAGATAAGAAACAAGTTTGGCAGGGCACAAGGCCATCAAAACAGAAGGAGTCTCCAATTGGTAGAAATCAAACAACGCCAAAATTACAAACGAGCCTATTCAAGTAGGATAATGATGTGAGGCTACAAAAGTATGGCAATATTTTATGCTTCAACCATCAAAGTTAACTTGAATCATTTTACTAAGTGGTACTTGATAGGATCTTGCATTAGGTAATATCTCATCCATAAACTAGTCTAATACCGTATAACTAACCTTAGAATTATCTTTCCTCAAAGATACTAAAGATTGTTCCATGACATGATACAGCCGAAGTTCATTAAGAGTATTCAAAAGTACTTGAATTGACCTGATCAACTTGTTTGATTCGACAAATATGTGTTCTTGCACCTGCAGATTAATCACAGTTAACAAACAAGAAATAAAGCTCATGGTATCATGGCAGGGATAGGTAACCTCAAAATATCCATTGTTCTCTTGTTAGCCCTAATGCATCAATGAAAAGTTTGTATCTTATTAAGAAAAAACAAATAGAGGACTCACTTCATCCCACTATTAATAATAATAAAAAAACAATTAAAACACACTCTGAATTCATAGAAATACTCGGGCTAAATATTCTCATAAATTCGAAACCTTGTTCCAAGAAGATAAAGATGACTTTGCCAATGTTTCTGATGTTCAAGATTCTTAAAGTTTTCTATTTTGGTTCCTTGCAAATAGGAGGCTCGTTTGGAAAGCAGCATTTACGGTCTTTATGCCGTTAATCTCTTTTGTTCATTCGGGTTGTATCCCCATTTTTTGGGTTCTTACTTTCCCTTTCATCTTTTTTTTTCCTTCTTCGCTCTCTTTTGGACTTTGTATCGTTTGAACAATTTTGTTCCTTTTCATAAATCAATGAGAAATTCGTATTTTGTTAAAAAAAAAGAAAAAATTAACTGAAGGGGGAACCATGCCCTAAAAGTTCAACCTATGGTGTATTCTGTGTAAAGAGCATGGAGGATCTTGACAAGCTGCTTGTGCTTCGTCTTTTCATATTCTTCTGTAAGGTAAGACTTTTCTGATCTAAAGCACAGTATCAGTAACTAAGCGATATTATTGACAAGGTGCTTGATGGCTGGTACCACATTCTGAGAGCCACATTTTATAAGGATTATAATTGCATTGTTGATTAGTTTTCATATTCTTTAGAACAGATTTAAGAATATAAGACATCTTTTGCAAGAATAAAGTATTAGAAGGAAACAGAATATAATTAGATCAAATTGATAGAAAATTTTGAGTCAAAGTGACTGAGGATGAATATACAACAAGGATTTGAGCTCATGACCCGAGGGGATAGTGTTGAGACGTTATGCCATCAGCATCAGTCAAGCCTTAACATAATGAGTGGGTAAGTCCCAATGCTACCCTAGAGCATCTCAATGCTACGAACACGGAGGTTCAACGCCCAAACATCTCATAGCGTCTCAACGCCATTAGTAGTGTCTCAATGCTATTTAGGTTGGTGTGGCTCACAAGTTTGCCTAAAAAACCAACTAAAGCCGTGGCTTCCTCCTATAAATAGGGTGGTGAATTCTCTCAAAGAGTCAAAGGTTGATAAAAAGTTAATAAAATCTCTCTCATTTGGTGTCATCAATCTCTCAAAAAATTCCCTGAATCCCAACTGCCTAGTAGAGTTCCATCTACTGTTCTGCTATTTTGTTTTCCAGAAAGGTTGAATATCCAAGCATGGAAAAATATGTTAACACGTAGAAGACACACAGGAAGAAGCTTACACTATATCAAAATGATAATAATATATATGAAAAGCAGTAAATTTACTAGAGCATAATAAAACCTCTAAGGCAGAGCAACAATGAAGAATATAAGACCAATGCTCTAATGGCAAATACTCGGTACATAACCTGCAGTGAGATTAGTTTGTGAAGATCAAAATCCAAATCCTTTCTTCCAGCTAGATTGACTACAACACTCGGTAAAAGAAGCTCAGCAATCTCAGCTTTTAGCAACACAATATCTAGACATAATCTGGAAACAGAGAATTAAACCCATTAACACAATCTCATATTCATTAGCAAGCTACAACAAAAGAGGACAAGAAAATAACAAAAAACCTTAGAATCACATCATTCGAGTGACCGATTAGTGAGTATACTAATGGACAAATCCACTTCTCGAAAGTTTTATCATTGGTCTCCCACACTGTGGTACTTTCCACTGAAATTGCCTCAGCTGTTATAAACGTTAAGTTAATTATTTGCAGAGCGTAAAATAAATCCCACCCACAGAACAGGAAAACACTATGAAGTGTAAGATAATATAAACTGGGGAAAAGGAGACCATCAGGATAACAATAAACTGAATAACCTATGCAGCTATTCTTGAGCCAATGGTCATCCATCATAATTGTGGATTTTGTAGTGATATATGAAAATTAAAAATGTAAGGCTGGTCCATAAAAGCCCCCAGCAGTCGAGAGAATCAAGATATCAACCTTTTACCCTCGTAACCATCATTCCAAACAATGGCAATCTAAAATGTCAGAGGTCCAAATAAATTTTCTAGTATTCTATAGGCTTTTGCATCATCTGCCAAGAAATATCATAAAAATCAAGACCATGACTGATACAAAAGCCTTGGACTTCTTTTCTCTGGGAGGGAGGAAAAAAAATCAAGTGCTTAATTTGATTCAATTAATAACATTATAAAGAAGAGTCTATAAAAGAAGTAGACATGTGTACCTTTAAATCTCCTTTCAAGATCCAACACGTACCCATCCACCAGCTTAATGTTAAGCCCTTTGGAATGGACCTAAATTAATACATGAATAATAATTAATAGATTCATCCTATGTATTAGAAGTTGTAAGATTGAATGCTATAGATTCAGAATGCAGAATCAAGAAAACTTTTTAACCTCAGAAATAATCAGTACCATTTTCCTTCATGCATTCAAACCACCAGCATTACATTCCAGTTCAAAAATTATCAACATTATCTCACATTTTTATGCCCAGGTCAACTTAAAACTGACTGAGATACACAGAAACAAAAACAGACTGCAGCATATTTGATGCAGACATTTGGTAGTGCACTACCTAGGAGCATTTTGCTTAAATTTTTTTTTTTTTAACAAGAAATGAACTTTTCATTGGTAAATGAAAACATCTTTTCTGCATTATTGTGTAGATGCAGACTGATTTTACGAAATGGGACATAGAAAGGAGCCACTACAAAGAAGTTTCAGTAGGTAATTATAAGATAAACCATCTCTGCCAATAGCGTATAAGTAGTTATTCATAAGAAATCAAGAGTACAAACTAGGGACATGAAAATTTCATAACTAAGTATTGATCAGAATAGAAGGATTAGAACTAACCTCCAAAAGCGATCTCTCATAAGAATCAAATGTGAGTAGAGCACTTTGACCTTTTTCAGTGGAGAGTACAGCCTGGTTAAGAAGGGTGAAAAAAAATTGGATTAAATATAAAATGACTTTTCTTTTTCTGATTTTTTTTGTTTTTTCGAACAAGAAACAACTTTTCGTTGATATATGAAAAGGAGAAAAAGTTCAAGAATACAAACTCCCATAGGAGTGAGAGAAAAAAGAAAAAGATGAAAGCAAAATATAGGCTCAACAAGGAGCAATACAATTAAAATAAGAGTGATATCAAAAGCCAACAATAGGATCAAGCTAACTTCAAACAAAAAGATCCACCAAGATGTGATGACACAAAAGAGGAATATAAAATGACTTTTCTGAAGATCAAATTACAAGGGAACACAAATGAAACAATAATAATATCCATAAAAGCCAACATATTTTCCATAACTATGCCCCAATATTATTAAAACATAATTCCATAGCAAAGCATATTTCCATAGCATCATGATCAAAACTCAATGAAACGAGCATCTAACTACATCGATTTCAGTTCAAGAAAGAGAGAAGTAAAATGGGTCGTCATAGACTAACCTGGAGAACTTGGGATGTCATATCAACTATTTTAACAGAATCATCCATCAGGTATCTTTTCAAATGTTTTAAAAGTTCAACCAGAAGATCTTCAGATATGCCGGTTTCAATCTTGAAGTCTATTTCTGAAGCACTACCATTAACAGCGGGCCGAAAAATATGAATGGTATTAGAGTCCCCAGGTAGATGGAAAACGACACAATGTGGGTCACCTATGCCAACCTGCAAAAACAATGAAGGGAGAAAAATTCTTGAAAACTCATACATAATTTATTCCTTATTTGAACAAGGTAGAAAACCAATACCCTAGATACAAAATCTGACACCAACTCCCTTATACAACTTGTATCATCAGAACCACACATTCGCATAAGTTTCCAGACTGCACGCTCCACTTCGTGATCATTGTGCCAATCAATATTTTGGGTATTCTCACTGTGAAAAACTTGACCCCCAATCAATTTCCTATGCAGTGCTTTTAAACTGCAAGATAAGCCAAGTTGTAAAAGAAATCTCAGAAGCAGCTTAAAAGAAATAGCATCATCTTCACCAATTATAGGCTAGAAGCACCCAGTAACCATAGAAAGATAAAACAAAAAAAATGCTCCATCTTGAGCATTTGAACATCTAGAAACAAGCATTTAAAAAAATTAAAAATTAAAAATTAAAAAAAATATATGTGTCTTGACTGTCAGAAGTTCACTCAATATTAGAAAAAGATTGGAAAAAAAAATGGTGGGAGAGAGAAAAAGAGAAGGAAACAAATGCAAAATCATATTACACATTCACTATGTTGATCCAAGGCAGCACACCCTAATAACAAGGTCCTAGAGTTCTAGTAAACAAAATATTTAAAGGTATGCAACAAAATGAAATCTACCTCCATAATAGTAATCTTGGCGGTAGGTTGCCAGAACGCTCGACTAACTGAAAAAAAGATGAGACATGGGATGTGAGAAATTACCTGAAATATGCAGGAATGGATCTAATCTAATCCTTCAATTGAAAAGTTGATCTCAAACCAAAACCCTAAAACACCTTACTTTCAATAAATGATCCCTTGGAGAGTACCCTCTACATAGTTCCAGATGGAACTTTCGGATATCATCAAAGATATCGATCTCAGGAAAGGGCTCCAGTTCCTGCACCATAGGAAAAAGAAATCAAGATTCTAAAAATATATGGCACAATATAACATTAGATGAAAGACACTTATGCCCTCTGATTATATATGAATCCTTCATATTCATAAAAAGCAAAGTTTACACTATCTGAAAAAGAGAATTAAGATGAGCTGAAAAGACAATGAAGAATCCTTTACAGAGAGGACTCTGCCTCAGTTATTCAGTTTTCATTAAACTAAGAATATGCAGGTTGATCAAATGGGAAAAATTGCAAAGGCTTTTTGAAAATTTTGTCCTCAACAAAACTTAAATCTTTAATTGCAGATCAACCAAAGGAAAAAAAATAAAATCAATTCCATAGAGTTCATGTATGGGAGAACATACCTTGATGTAATCATAGAGAGATGAATCAGAATCCATTGTGAGTTGGCGAACCAAAGATAAGAGGTGAGATGATCTATTGCCAGGAGATTCTCCATCAGCTTCAGAAGGGATGCAACATGCCACCAACTTTGAGATCAAAAACTATGTTCCCAATCAATTAGAAGGCAGTCAAAAGAATAAGGTGGAACTCCAGAAAATAGTGAGCAGATTGCACAAACCTGAAGCTGTTCTCCAAGGACTCTGGTGATTTCTTTGCCCGGACTGGATTTGAAAGATTCCAACAAGGTTGAGAGGATGCGACAACATTGGTCTTGTAATGAATTATCACCAATGAATAGCCCAATCAAATTGAATAAATAGCTGCATTAACTTAATAAGTTGTAACTAAGATGTAGGTTAACAGAGAATTAGCAAAATTTATAACATCTGTTTGTATCAATGTTTTAAAAGTTTTGAAGTGGCCTCGAGGCTTTTTCTCAGCAAGAGGCGAGGCGAAAGCCTCGAGGCGGTATGAGGCGTAGGCCTCATTTTAAATAAGGAATCATAAAACTTCTAAACTTTGTATTATAAAAATACAAAACATACTTCAAAACTCTAACAACAAAAAAATATATCTCAATAGTCCATTGATGTATATTACATCTAACCTTTCAAAATCGTTATCACTAAAAACTAAAAAATAAACCAAGAAAAAATTTGAAAACCAAGTTGAGGTGAAAAAAGAGAGGAAAAAAAGGAAGAAACAAAACTACAAAAAAAAAAAAGAAGAAGAAAACTTGCTACCCTTAATACAGTATGTAATAACCAAAAGGAAAAAGAAAACACAAAGCAAAGTAGAGTAGATAGGAGGGGAAGAGAAGAAAAATGAAATTTGAACGCACTGTTTCTAGCCGTCAATCCACTGGTTTACATTTTTATTCATTGTACAAATGAAGACAAACTAGGTTTGTCTTTTAGTTTGGTCTAGGTTGCTATTTCATTATAGAACAATAAGATTTTAAGTTTAAAATAATATATCAAACAAATGTCTGAGGCAATTATTTTTCTGTAAGGGAACTAAACCACCTTGTTAATTGCACCACCTTATTAATTTCACCCCACCACCACCAAAGACCATTTTCCTTTGAGGCCGATTCCTTTTAAGCCTCAAAGGCTTATGCCTTTGTTATCTAAGGCATAAGCCTCTTTTTATTTGCTACAGGCGTAAGCCTTGAGGCATGATATAGCCGCCTCGCCTCAAGGTACACCTCAAGGTGTAAGCCTTGACCAATTTTTAAAACATTGATTTGTCTCACATGAAAGAACCACAATAAAGACCAGCACGACAAAGAAAAGAAAAAATTCAAGTGACCAACCACGACAGTTAAATAGATTTTTCAAGGTTTAGAGTTTTGAAACCAAGACATAAAGGAACGTCAGCTGTTCTCCATATAAGAATCCAGCAGATTGTAGAATGCCAACACTTCAAATAATTCGCTGGTAAAGATGCAAAAAAGATAAAGTTTTTTTAATTATTATTGTTGTTTTTAATGTATTAAGACAATTTTGCTTCGATAAAATTAAAGATTAACTTCATATTAGAACTTAAACACATAAACAATATATTTTTAATAAATCAATGTCCCATGTTCAGAATGCAAGCTCACTTTGAAGTGCTCGAAACAGCAGCTCTATGACCAAGAATATTGATAAGCACTTCAATTGCTGCCAATCGATGAGATTTATGCCTGTGATTAATTGCTTCTGTAATTTTGTAGTGCATCTCTACAATAAACTGCACGACCACAACAGAGGTTTATTTGGTAAAATTCATGGAAAATAATCAAAGACTAAACAAGTACAAACATAGAAGAAACTTAACAACCAGATAGAAACTATTTTCCTTCTCAAAGAAGAAACTTGAATTTCAATATAAGTTGAAGGAATTTACGAAGAGGAAGAATATGCCAGGCTATATGCCTTTCTCAAAGTGAAGCAATGAAAGACTACAGGGCTTACAAGCTGCATAATATAATTTTCTTAAGTATTAAATATATAAGAATACCATGAATACTCTATCTGGACGAAAAACATTGATTCTGTCAATAACACCAATTGTCATTCCATTGTCCTCCCTTCAAGAACCAAGTTAACAATAAAATTAGTCATGTCTGTAAAACATGAAAAACGAATAGCTATGAAAGAAAATATATAAAGAAGAAGAGGAGCAGGATTAGAAAAATTCACATTTCCAAGAAACCGTCAACAACTGTTCGAACAGCAAGAACAATTGTATCCTTTGGAAAGAATGGATCCATGGGTTCTGAAGCACAAGAGGTTAAAGCTAAGATCTGGCTGATAATGGACACCTACAAGCAAGGAATAACAAGTACAAATTATTATTGAACATCTTTAGCAAATTCTGTTTTCTTCAAAGAGGTATCAAGTTAATCTAACATCCACGAACAAAATCCAGTTAGCTGAATTAAAAAAGAGTAAATTCTTTGATTTCTGTAACCTTACCTTTTATTCTGTAGGTACACAGGTAATTGTGTTTGTTTTGAGAGAAGTCTTGATTAAAAGATGCCATTTTTGTAGACTCCATCATTTTGTTTGTCTTTCTCATTTCATTTTTAACCCTGTAATGTACTCACATCGATCTCAAACTGGGAAAGAAATCATTTCAACATCAAAAGGTCACTGGAATACATCCCCCAAAGACCCCTTGGAAAGGTTGAGAATGGGATGTCTACTCTTTTCTGGAAGGAACTATGGATTGGGCAAAGACCTTTGTAAACTGCTTTTCCTACTTTTGTTTTCAATAACCGATTACAAAGGATTCATCAGTAGCAGATTTAAGGAATGCTCAAAACAACTTTTAGAACATGGATTTCAGTAGAAATCTCAAAGATGAGGAAACCAGGGAGTGGGCAACTCGTCCTCTTTAATATCATCCTCACAGCCCTCTGATAGACACTGGATCTGTGGGTTTTGAATCTTGAAAAAGGAGTCCATTTCTCTTCTCAGTCTTTGGCATACAGTCTCACAGTGGGAGGAACCTCCAGAAACGATGAGCTTTACAAGGTGATTAGGAAAGAGTCTTATCCAAAAAAGACTAAGTTCCTTCTTTGGGAGCTTAATAATAATTGCCCAACACCTATCACCTATGACCGTTAGCAAAGGAGAAGCCCCTGGATTACTTTGTCTCCTTGGTGTACTTTGTCTAAAGCTGAAAATGAATCTCAGAGACACATTTTCATTCACTGCCCGTTTACATTGAATATTTAATTGTAACTTCTCTTGGCTTTTGGTTAGTCCCTGGTTCTCCACACCAGTGTCATGGAATGGATGCCTTCGATACTAAAAGATCATCCCTTCGAACAGTCAAAGAAGCTACTCTGGTTGCACATCAATGGGGCCTTCATATGGATTCTATGGAATGAAAGAAATGCCAGAATTTTCTAAGACAAAGGAGAACCCCCAGAATCATTGTCTGAACTTACTCTCTTTTTGGCTTTATCATGGTGTAAAAACAATAATATTTTGAATACTCTTATATTTAATTGGAGAACTTTTTCTTTTTTTGATATGGAACCAATCTTTTAATGACAAAAATACTAATTACTTTGGTAATGGAATTGGAAAGAGAAATGAAAAGAAGAATATCAGAGGCATACAAAAAAATAGCCCTACAAGAAGACAACCGCTAAAGAAAAAGGCTTCGATCGAATAACACCTAACTGATAATTACAAAAGGGCTTGGAGACCGATTCTGATGTAGGCGTTATTCGGATCCCCACAAAGAAGTATTAAACCTAATAAGATTTTTAAACAAACTCCACGGATCCTAATATTATCCAATTGGAGAAATTTGGTTACTTCATTGGATCGAACTCTTTCCTTTTCTTTTTTTTTTATAATTTAATACTATCTTTTTTTTATCAAAAAAGCTGTGTATATTAATGATAAAAAGAACAGCCTATAAGCCGAGGGATGAGAGGGCCCCTGCCAAACAAAAATACTAATGGAGGACTGCTCTCCAATCTCGAGAAAGCATCGTAAGACTGTATTTAGAAAAGAAAACCTTGTGGTTTAAGCACCAAGATGAAGCATTAATTTGTACATAATTACAAAAAGAATCGAAAGAATGAGAAAGGTTGGTAAAGACCCGATTGTTTCTTTCTTTCCATAAGTTCCACAAAAAGGCCCTGATTGCACAGCCCCAAAGAATCTTAGCTTTCCCTTTGTAGGAACAACCTTGAACAATCTCCATAAGCTAGTCTTCTATTGCCCTAGGCCTACAGCCCACAAAACTGAGCACTGTGAACAAAAAGGACCACCAGTCCGAGGCAAAGGGACAATGTAAGAAAAGGTGGTCCATATGTTCAGAATCCTTGTAACAAAAACAATACACCGAAGGAGAAAGTGAGCAATTCAATAGTTTTTTCTGCAGAATGTCATGTGTGTTGATGCTTCTATTGCTAAGCTCCATAAAAACACTATAATTTAATACTAACAATGAAATTATTTCCTATCAAAAAGAAAATTAACCCTATAATATTCTTTTACTCTGAATAATCCATTCACTTGTGTGGCTTTCATTGCAATGTCAATGATGGAGCCTAGAGAGGGCATGGAACCTTCCAATATTTTGATTTTATTACACAGGATTTCATCTTTCTTCAAACATAATTATGAGAAAAAGAATACGGCGTCTGGATTCTTCTTGTAAATCTCATTTAATCATTTGGTATCTTCATTCTTCGTTTCTTAGTTTGGTCCTGGTAAAATGGTCTGAAAGGTGAAAGCTCCTTAGAAGATCCAAGCTTTTTTCGGGCATGTTGCTCATGGGTAGGTTCTTGCCTACTTAGAAATGGTTGTACAACCTATAGAACAGATCCTGTTCAAGTAAGGTCTTTCATCATAGGTAGGTTCTATAAAGATAGAGGTTAATCTCTTGTACTATAATACTTGAATATTAATAGAGTTCTTGGATAGTTCTCTCCTAGATGCTAGGTTGCATCATTATACAGATATAAAAATAACTCAAAATGAACATATATATTAAGCATTTTCAAGATGGACACGTGTCTTATAAAGCAGGACCCTTGTCCTATTGATTAACCATAACCAAATTTTTCTTTAGTTAAAACTTTCTTTCTTATGAAAAGATAAAAATAAAGTAAAATGGAACTCAAAATAAATAAAGCAATATGAGATCAAATGAACTTGTAATAATTTTGGTCAATTGCAATGATAACATGAAAGCTTATAATCTTAAACATTATTTGAAAGAAGGGATCAAACCATATGTTTCTTTATAAGTATATCTCTTTCACTCTCTGTTATTCTGGCAAAATGCAACATTGAACTTTGAAGGGCAATAGCTCCCTTCTCCCATCCAGATCTCTTGCTGCAATGCAGTGCTATGCAAATAGAAAATATTGCCACAAAGTAGCTTCTAATTAGATCTTCGAGTGGCTCACCGGCAACCTGTTAATTAATGATGTCAGACAAAAGTCTCAAGTATACATACAGCGTAAAACACAGATAAATTACAAAACCCTACATTTGAATCCACAATATTTAATCATTAAATATACACTTTTTGAGACCCCGTAAGTTTTTGAATCTATTGAATGACTTGAACCAAAAATCTTTTATTCAATGCTTTTGCCGAAGTTGTTGTGTTGGCTTAATACACAGACCGGGAGAAAAAGTTTTCCATAAAATACACTTACATTAGCAATCCATCCAAGGTTGGAACTATCACCACGTAGAATAAGAGCAGGAAGAAGCCAGTGGCAACAATACTGAATAAAGTAACTAGGTTCAGCATCCAAGACAAAAAGCTGCCTTATCTGCACAAGTATAGTAAAAAAATTTAAAAAAAATTAATTATCCAAAAAAATAAAAAAATAAAAGAACAGATGCTTTCTCAAAATTTGAGCGCATAAGAAAGACCAAGCAAGTCAGATTCTTTACTTAAAACACAATCAAATGAATTGAAAGGTCAACATAAATCCATGGCTGAAATGGTTGGTTCAATTTTTACCCTGAAGATAACTTTTTTTCTATATGAATTATAAAATTATGGAGAGAGAGACAGAGAGATCAATTTTACCCAGTGCAATTGGATTGGGGCGAGAGGAGCAGATCAATTGTCCCAAGCACCATAACATCAGAGATATAACGAGGAGATTAAATGGATAAATACCTCAATAAGTGCAGGTAAGCTTACACCACAAGTAACCCAACAAAAGAGAAGCGATCCTATGTGTTCCTCCAAGTACTGCAAAACCATTTTAGAATCTCATGATACGCTATATGAAGAGTTCAGAAGTTCGATATTGTTGAAACTTAGGTAATTAAAATTATTTTGTCCCTTATAGCTGATATCATCTAGCTCTTTCTTCAAAATGTATCCTCCTTTTGGAAGTTCGCAACTCTTATTTGAAAAATAACAATAACCATAAATAACTTTGGAATAGTAACTGAAAAAAGAAGTCAAGAATTTTAAGAACAAAGGACACAGCTATAAATTTCACCTTCTGTCTTCCTGAATAATTGAGCTGTCTGGCAAGATTATCAACCATAGTAGAGACCATTTCCCTGAAGTACAATAAAACTATTAATTGAAAAATATAAGCCACAACAAAACTGCAAATTAAACAAGTTAAATGAAGCACCTTTGACTAGGATCAATTGCAGAAATTGCACACATCATGAAAACAACCTGCAGTTCCATAAAATATCAAATAAACGAGTCAGTTACACATCATAGAATATGTACGATCAAAGGATGAAACTTTTAACCTAAACGGTAGCTCTTCTGCAGATAAAACATAATTGAAAGGCCAGTTTATCATACTTTTTTTTTTTTGAATCATACTCATATTTATTAAATGAATAAATAATGAGGCTTTCATTTTAAATATGCTATATTACACAAAAAGTCTACATTTATGAAAGACCGAATGATTACTCAGTAGATACTTTTGTTATAGTCAAAAGTGAAAGGAAAAATAGACAATTTTGAACCTTGCACTATGGTAGTAAGTATCATCAGTTATTTAAGAGGTATCTAAATGATTGAGTTAGTATGACAAATGACGACAGACCCAAGCAATATTAGAATTAGAATTTGACATGAGCTTATATTCCTACTGCAGATATTGGCTTCACTTTTTAATATTTTTTTTGTGCTTATAAGAAAATTTCATTTAAAAATCAAGTGTATGAATCAAAAAATTGGACTAGAAGTCCAACATGGCTTAGCGTTTTCCTATACTCTTCCCCCTAAAGCTAAGAATACAGCCCAAGAACATCAAATAACAACAACTGAGTCACTTAAGGGCGAATCTTTAGTAACAAACTTATCAGAAACTTTTGAGCTCCATTTTTCATAAGGAAACCCACGAGCCAAAATTTGATGAGAAAGCAACTTCAATGCCACCAAACATTAATAAACCAAAAATTCCAATCACAAAAGCTGAACCAAAAAATTCACCCCTCCTGCTTCTTTTTAAATTGTTTGATCCTCAACTAACTCTTCTTTACACCCTTAACCTAACTATATGAAATGGAAACCAACATTGTTCCACAGATTTGAAATTTCAAACCCAATGAACCAATCACTCGAGAAGCACCTTCATAAATGTAAAGAGCCAAAAACTTTTCTCTGTCTGTCTTTCTTTCTTCTTTCTCTTCTTTTTTTCCTTTTTTTCTTAATACGTACTAGTATTTGATTTCTGACAAAGAACGTATTTTAAAATATTATAACAAATAAAAATGTTTGGCAGGAATAATAGGAAAAGACCTATTACTTATTAGGCAAAACCGAGAAAAAGATAGACATGAAATGCAAGCTCAAAAGTAGTTTCCATCCTTTTATTCCTCAAATAACCAATTCCTTAGTCCTTCGATTGAGGATGATAGATATTTCAAAAGAATTTGACACACAGGTTTTCCATAGAAGTGAAAGTAGTATATTATACACAAAGTAACCATAAGAGAAGGGATGATAAATCCTCTACTCACAAAATATTTGTCATTTAGAATACAAAGAGGCATGGGAAATCAGAAATGCCAAAAAAAAGATTTTCTATTTCAAAATAAAAAATAAGTAAAGATTAAAGTTCTTTCCTGAACACATAAAAAAAAGTCATACTATTCCAAAGTTCATCTATTTCTTTCCAACACATAAAACTGAAAAGTACATACTTTGAAGAATATGAAGATAAACTGATCAATATGTGAGGCTTGATCCATAAACAAAAAAATCCTCTACCTTGTTGTGATCTTCCAAGAGGTACGGAGTAAGCAAATACCTCTAACTAAGCCTATTTTGAACAAATACTCTGTTTGAAAGAACAATTACCTCCAACTCTATAGAGTCACTATGCAAAGCAAGATGGGCAAGCGTGACAATTATGGTTTCCATTGTAGGACGAGGCTGACCACCAGCATCTAGGACCTCCCTTGCCGTAACAACTTTTTCTTTTGAGCACAGCACTAATGAAACACCAAAACCGGAACTGTATTTAAGAACCAAAAATCTATTAAGTATACTGCATTAGAATTAAAAATAATGTTGGCAAATGGCAAATATTAAGGCAATATACAGGATTAAGCAGCCAAGATCAAAGTTTCCCTTTACCGAGTTCATCCATTCCCTCTCTTATCCTTTGATGTAGCCGTTATAGGCTGTTAGAGGCATTCTTTAGTTAGTTGGTTGTTTTAGTTAAACCTGTTAGTTTGTTTTAAGCTTTAGCTTTCAAGGGCTTTTGTTTCCGTGGCCTTCTCCTATAAATTGGAGGCGTCCTCTTCATTATTGTTAGACTTTTCTACTTTCAATAAAATTCTTCTTCTTGGTTACACCTTCCTTTCTTTTCTGAAACCCCCTTTTTGTGTTTATATCGACAGCTGCTACTTCTCGTCTCTCTTTTCCCTCCTTTTTCAGTTCAGATTTTCTCACACTACTTTTCTACGTTATCTTTTCTTGAGCCTTTCACACCTTCTTTCTTCATATGGAAGACCTATAAAATCCCCATTATTGCCTCGCTCTTCTATCAAATGTTTAGAAGTCAATAATATTTTCCGATGCCACAAATATCTTATAATATTGGATTATGTCTTCTATATTGGAAATTTGAAACCAATCTCCAGTTTTCTAAGCATTTGACCACATTTCAAATTTTTCACTAAACTGTCCACAAATTTTCCCAGACTAATATATCGGTAAATAAGTTCCAGTTTGAAAACAATGAATAGAGAGATATCAGAAGATTTAATTATTACGACACAACTCACAAGAAAAGACTAGGGAAAAAATTGAAGGAAGTAAAAAAAATTATATAATTTTAAAAAACATCAAGAAAACCTACCATATATCCTGGAAAAGTTCCTCATGACCATCCCATGTCTGGAAGAGAACACCTATTCGTTTTGCCAGAGAAAACCTAACTCGATATTCTGGATCCCGGAGCATTACAAATAACCTTTCAATCATTGTCTACATTGGTCCCATCATAACATCAATTATTAGGAAATAAGTTAGTCCTACTCTTTACTAGAATGGAAGTGTTTAAGAAAAGAGATAGAACAATGCACACACAAAAGTCCTCCCTTCTCAATATGTTTTTTTTTTCGAACAAGATACAAACTTTTCATTGATGTATGAAAAGGAACAAAAATTGTTCAAAGATACAAACTGTCGAAGGAGTGAAAAAGCAATAAAAAACGGAAAAACTTAAAGGGGAGTTATCAAAGCCTCCCAATTAGAACAAATAATACTAAGGGAATAATTGGCAAATAAATTTAAAAGAGAACACCAATGAGAGACTTTTAAACTTGACAAGACAAAAACACTCCTAGCAATCTAATTTTGCCCTCAAAAGTCCTTTGGTTTCTTTCAAACCAAATCTCGGATAGTAAAGCTTTAATAGAATTAACCCACAAAACAATAAAAACAAAGTTCAGAGAAAGAGAAGACAACAGACACATAAAAGATAATAAACAAAGCCTACGAACTATAGACAATAAATACATACAAATTGGTGGGGGATGTAGTAGTAGTTCTTGGTGGGATGTTTCCAACACGGCCTGTGATGGAGAAATTTTCTACTTCTTAGGATTGGGAATGGGAAAAATACTATGTTTCAGAAGGATAATTGGGCTGGAGCATTTTCAGGTGATCTTTCCTAGGCTCTTTTCTGTTGCTCCGCAGAAACTTATTTCTGTAAAGGATGCTACGGACTCTGAATATTCTGCGTGCTTCAAGAATTTACTAGTATTTTTTTTTATAACTAGGAGTCGAAACTTTGTTCCCTATACCCAAGTGCAACTACGCCAAATTCGGGAGACATAAAGAGTTTTTGGCATTAAGCTCACCGGAAAGTTCAAACTTGAGACCTCTACGCCAGTATGACCAAGAGACCCAAGCCTTTGCCAAATGGGCTATCTTTTTTTTTTTTATATGAAACAAAACTTTCATTGAGAAAAATGAAAAAGATACAAAATACACCAAAAGGCCTAAAATGGGCTGTCCTTTGAGGGCAAGAAGTTACTAGTATTGTAAATGGTGCAACTTTGGGGAATATAGTTTTTGGGGGAGGGTGGTGTCCTCTACCCTTTGTACTTAGGTTGTTTCTCTCCCTTTTGTCGATTCATTCTTGTTTTTTTAACAAGAAACAACTTTTCATTGATGTATGAAAAGCAAAAATATTCCAGATACAAACCCCAAAGGGGTGAAAAAAAAGAGAGAGAATAGAAAATTATAAAGAAATAATATAACAAGAGCAATACAAGCTCATAAAAGATGCAAAGCATTCTAAATCAGAACACAGAAAAACTGCTTGCTACAAAGCTTGGAAAACCAATAGAAATTCAGAGCCACGACCACAACAGAGATAAAAACTTCCTTAGATCCATAAGCGAAGAACAAACTTAATATGAGCCAAGTAGAAGGTATCTGAAATGCTGAAAATGCAGCAAGAATAGACCAATTCCATGAAGTTTATCAAGGAGCAGTGGAGCACACACCAAAAAACTAAGTCTCAATGCTATCTTCAAAAAAACCTCCAATAATAAACCACCATATGCCAACCCTCAAGTGGAAAAAGAACCTTAAAGAATCTCACCAACGAACCAACCAACCCAACTAAAGCTGCAAAACTTCGAAAACTGCAATAAGAGAGAACATTCCCATTTTTCAAACTTTTCAAATAGGAACAAAAGTATCAAATAGGAACAAGAGTAAATCCCCATCTCTTCAAAAAAGAGAGAATGGTTGTTTGCTTTGGAGAAACTGTCTTCTCATATTTTTTTTTTCTCATTAAATAGAATCTGGAGACCCTCAAGTGGATTCTTTCTTAATGTATCAGTTTCTGTCTTTTATCCCGGAAAAAAAAAATTTAGAAGAATCTGTAAATGTGATTTTTCGGTCAAATCTTTGGTAACATCTTCTAATCATTCCAAAATAGATATAAGATGGTTCAAGGTATGCTCGAAAACAAAAAGTCCAAGAAAAGTTGACATATTTATATGGAATGCACACTTTTGAGGCATTAATATGGCGTCTTCAATGGTATCTGTTTAATGTTTCCTAGAGGGCGACTGGCACGGCCGAAAGGCGAAACTCTCGTCGTAGTTTGGCGACCTAAAGGGCGGACACCTATTTTTGTTATCTAAAGGCGAAGACAAGTAAGCTCAATCACACTTTCTTTTTCATTTTTCCTACAGTAGTAAATGTTAGAAACAATTGTTCTTGGGTCTTGGATAAAGACTCTGGAAAACATTTTTCAAATGCTAAGTTGACAGGTGCTGAAAGGCAAAGCAAGGTTGTATGGATCAACACAGTTAAAGCTTTCTTTGTAATACTTGGTTTGAAAGGAACCAAAGAAAGATCATTTGTTTGGTTCGAATTATGCAAAAGGTCGTGCTTCTATTGTGGTTCTCACGGTCAAGATTGCTCTCTAGTTATCCATTCAATTTAATTAATTCTAGTTTGAAGGTTTTTTTTATAAGTTGTTTAGGAGCTTCTGTTTCTGAGTATTTTTTCAATTTTATGCTAGTATTCTTTAAAGGGGGGAGGGCATGAAGGAAGTTAAAGTTGTTTACTAAGCCAAGAAAAGATATCCACACTAAGCCAAGGAAAAGCATACAAAAAAGCCCCCACGTGGCTTTAATCAGAAACCATCATAATAACAGATGAGTCTTGAAACTATCTCCCAAACGTCGGATGGCAACTCAGTAAAGGGCAACTTGCAGCAAAAGACAGGGGCTTTAGAGAGGAGGAAGAAATAGCTGGAAATTTCTCGGGAAAACCTAGTAAAACTATGCCTCGGCCAGCAAAAAAAAATGGTTTGAAAGGCAGAATTTCTGTAAGGAAAGAAACTGGGAGGATGAAGTTGAAAAGGCTAGCTTCACTTTGGTCCTCTAACCAAATTATTCAGTAATTATACTGCAGTGATTTGAAAAGTGGGTGGCAGCGCCTCATAATATTTTTTTCAATTATTTTATTTTTTTAATTAAAAAAATTAGGAAATATCCTCCAAAGACCTCGTTTCATTAAAAACTCTTGATTAACTCTAGTTAGAGGACTTTTTTAATATTCCAAAGAGATTCCATGCATGTCAATGAAAAGTCCCTGTTCCTATTTAAAGAAAATAAACAAAAAAGTTCTAAGACCATCCACCAATCGGTAGCAATAAGTTCAACCAACCCCCACACTATCCCCGACCTTAATATTCTATTATTTGTAGCATAATGAGAAAGGACTCGATAAAATGTCTAGCATCCTGTAATTCGCTAGGAATATAAAAATAAACATATGTGTTTTCTTGCATTAAAATGATTACCTGACCAATTTGTGGATTGATTAAAATTAAGTCACAAATGCAATCAATAAGCTTAATACGCCCCAACCAGTCAAGAAGGTCAGCTTCAGCAATCCTGTTCACTATTTTTCCAATATGAACCAAGTTCTGCAATTAAAAATTAGCATTAGTTAATTGACTGATCAGATTCATTTCAACAATATCTGGAAAAAAAATTAAGGAAAGGAGCATCAATGTCGTCCTGACAGGTCAAAAACCTAATTCCTGATAGAACTATGCTGTAAGACTTTAATTTTTTTTTTTTTAACAAGATACAAACTTCTCGTTGATTTAATGAAAGGAATAGAATGTTCCAGAAATGCTGTAAGACTTTAAATTATTGACATAAACACGGAAACCAGTACATTCAACTTAAATGAAATTATCTCACTGCAAATTATAGGTTAAAAAAACATAAAGAGAGAGAAGTCTTTAATAATATAAATGTACACAACAGGACACAAGAATCTGATAGTGGAAGACAAAAACCCCTTCCGAATCTTGAAACAGAGGCAATTTTTTCTATATATAATAGAAGACTTTTATAAAGCAAAATAATGGATGAAACTTTAACTGGATCAGGAACTGAAGCGCCCACAATGGAGCACCAAAAAACTCTTCCACACATTCCTTCGCCCAGTGATTTCCAATAATTTTTTTTTTCACAAGAAACAAAGTTTTCATTGAAATATGAAAAAGAAAAAAAATTGAAAGATACAAAACTCTCATGCAAGTGAAAGAAGACAAAAATAAGACAAAATAGATCAAAAAAAACTAATGAAAAATAAAAGCCTAAGCCACCCAAGAAGAACATATAATTCTAGGAGAATAATTCGCAAATGAATGATAAAAGCCTTTCAATAATGTATATTCTTCCATGCGATTTCCAATCAATTTTCAAACAGAACAAGATCAAGAAATTACCTTCTCAAGTTGTGCATCCTTAAGAAATCGACCACCATGCTTACTCTTCGCAACCCCATCCAAGGATGACAGGTTCCTAAGTAAACCACCAACAGCATCAAGTGTGCCGTACAAATCCAGCTTAAGATTCACTTTTGTATTAATCAAGTTGTCCATTATATTCATCTGCAAAAGTACCGAGGAAATAATGTTATCAGTAACATTTTCAATTTTTCCAACTTCTTTGTAGACTTAACGTTTGAACCAACTTCACGAAATGGCTGATTAGTCTTATTACCAAGTTCATAACTTTTTCAGAAGACGACCACAATATGTTTTGACTGAGATGGTACAGAATCTCTTCGCATACCTGAAGAGGAATAAATACAAGATTAAAACCCCCATTATAACGAGAAAGCATGATAGTACTAAATAATTGCTGAATGTTCTATGCACCTTTGAATCGCATTCTTTCTCAAGGAGTTCAAACAGAACCTCCCATGTAACTTCATGCAAAACCGAGCAAAAACTTGAAATAAGTGATATCATCCTCAGCTTCCAAATTGTTGCCGAAGACATGCCAGGGGCCATACTCCTCTTAACAGCCAGGACATCCATGTCATTGGAGTCATCATTCACATCCAACTCCACATCCAAAATCCTACTCACTTCAGTATCAACCGGGGGAAAATTCCCCAGAGTAATAGGTGCATCAAAATCTTTCAAGATTACCTCAGAATGAAGATTCTTATTGGATCTAGAATATTCTTGATACAGTTCAGAAAGTGCTTTCAAAAAGTTTTCCATAGAAAGAATTAATGCACCATACAGATCAACATCCAGAGCATTATGATTTGTTTCTGATTTGAAAATGGGACAGGAAGCAAAGCTTCTAAAGGATGTGACAACAGAACTCGTTAGGTCAAAGAAGGAATCAGAACCAAAGCAATTGAAATGTTTAAAATCCCTGCAGTACCCTTGGATAACATTAACAGCATGACCTGTCATTTCTAAAATGTAGTGGCCCAATCTGGAAATGAACAAAGACGCTTGCTCCCTTTGCCTGATGAAGCATGTAAAACAAATGTAAGATGATAATAACTGCATAACAACCACAAGAAAATGCTGCCTAAGGAAGTAAAAGGAGTTTTTTTTCCACATCTCAAAGACATTAAAGGTCCCATGTTAAAATTAGCTGAGTACTAGAAAGCTTTCTTTAAATCCAGTAATTGATTCACGCTAATCTATTTATCAACACAAATAACCATAAATAAGTTTAGTTCACACATGCAAGTTTGGTAGTAAATGCATAAACTGTTCTTTAAAAAAATGTTGCTCCCACCAAACCTAGAAGAAAAACTATACATAAGAAGACTCTTGGACGTGATTAAAGAAGCTTTCCCAGGTTCTTTGCCCTGAAACTTTTACTCCACATGTGTTCTCGATTAATTATCTTACTAAAACATTGACAATTTACCCCAAAGTCTCGAAAGCTTGGCTGAAATCTTGTTGGGTTTCCAAGAGTCCAAAGAAAGTAAATATTATGACCTGGTTACCACACTTGGGAGGCTTAAACAATGCTGACAGATTACAGAAGAAATGTGCCGAAAATCAACTTTGAATCCTTCTGTTCAAATACTCCGTTTAAAGGCGGTGGAAGAACAATTACGTCCGTTTTTTCACTGCTCCTACAGCAGGAACTGCTGAGATTATATTCTTAGAATCTTTGGTATTTCTCGAGTATTCAACAAAAGTCGATTGATAACATTTTTCAACTACTATACAGTATGAAGCTGAAAAAGAAAGCAAATTTAGTGTGGATTGATGTCACTAAAGCTCTTATTTGAGAACTTTTTGGTAGGAAAGAAATCAAAGAATCTTTGAAGCAAATTTACAACCTAGGCAAGAAAGGGTGGATTCATCCAAATTTCATGCTTCTTCGAGGTGGGCTTTTTCTAAATACTTTTGCAACTATTCTTGGAATGAAATACTTCATAATTGGGAAGTCTTTTTATAATTTATCTTGGTAGTTTCATGAGAATGTTATTAGTAAGTTCTAAATTTTAGAAAAAAAAATTAAAAAAAAAAGGATTGCTTTCCCTTTCCCAGAAGTAGATAACAAAGACAAAACTAAGCATATGGCAGCCGTTTAAAGAGTAGAGTATATGACACCCATAACAACCAACAAATTGAGAAGACACATACCTTATTCCAGATAAGAATGGAAACAATATTTTTCATTGGGATAGATGGGATCAATAATCAAAAACTAAATACCAAAAAATAAAAAAACCAGTCAGCACAAAGTACATATACGAAGTAACAAAACACAGGCTTGCAAATATGTTCCCAATAATTGGCAACCAGAAGAAAGAAAAGGAGCATTCTGAACTTTAAAAGTTAGGAGGCCTCTCAAAACATTGTGAAACTTAAATAACATTGGATGTAAAAGCACAGATGTTAAGAACCTTATCAAAGTTGAACCGCATATGAAGTTTGCCAGTAAAGCACATAAAATGAAGACATTTGATAGCAGCACTTTTTCCCTCTCCACATCAATCAACGTTCCAAGAACATAAGTCTCCATTTCATCCAGCAGTGGATCTCTGATCTGACGAGGCAGATGAATAGCCTTAAGGCCTAGCGATGGGCATACCTGAACCAACAATTATAAAAAAAGTGAGAAACTACATAGGTAATAATTCAGAAACAGAACAAACAATAAAACGCCACCTTAACACTAGAACCAAGATGTATTTTGGCCACAACTTCAACAGAACACTCAAAAACTTCTTGCGACCAATCTTGATAAGTTTCTTCTTTCTGCAAATGCAATCAATTTTCAATTACCAATAAAATCCTCAAATCTATCTTTAATTTACAGTGTTAAAAAAAGAAAAAAAAAATTTTATAGTGTAAAGTCTAAAGATATTGTAAACAGACCACATCTTTCTTTATACATTCATCTAAAAACTCTGTAACATCTCTGAAGGGAGCACAACCCGCACAAAGAGCATAAACAGCTGCAGGCAACAAGAATATCAACTCCCTGTTGAAACTAGCAACCTCCTACATAAAGTCCGCAGCAGTTGTCAATTAACCATTCAAAATGTCCCTAGCAAGTTAACTTGATCTGAACACCTTAGGAGTTACAAAACCAGATATCAGGATTGCCTGTGTGCGCCAATGTGACCAATGTTAATATGGCAACTGCTTTGAATCTCAAGATTTAGAAAAAAACGCATGAATATTGACAACAATCAACTCCCAGCCTTCACCTCATTGAACTAATAAACTAAGGACTTCTGTGATGAAAATGAAGGAGAGTTTGGCTCTCCTTTTATAATCCCTCCAGTAGCTTTAAAGTTACCTCTTGACTATCCATTTCTTATAATAAATAAATTTTTAGACTCTAGCAAGACAAGACATCCCTTTATCCATTTCACAAATGGTCCAGATGATAATCCACAGACATTTTTTCTTAATGTATATACCATTTAAGTTCTCTAGCAAAATTGTAAAGTCTTTATGTTGCACCCTTTACATTGAAACAATGTTTCCTACTTAACAAGTTTTCATTATTGAACTAACAGCTGATTAGTTGCTACATATTTAATGATTCGGCAATAAACTTAAAAGGAAAACAAATTTAAAAAATAAAAACAAAACAAAAACAAAAATCATAAAGAAATAGTACGAATAAACCTTCAAATTAAGATGGCCTAGAACTGCTCTCAGAAGATTTTTCCTGAGATGGAAAATGTCTCGAAGGTCACCCTAGATGAATAATACAAAAAGAAAACTGCATGAGTCAGGAGTTCATTCTCAATTGAATCTCATATGTAATATCAAACTTTCACCAGCACCACATGGCACATCTCAGAACGAGTAAACTCAATATTAAGAATAAATAGTAAAAGAACTTCCCGAAAATGTGAGAATGCAATTCTATACTAAGTGAACTGTAAATTCATCCACCCATTATGCAGCTTAAACTAAGTCCAACTGCACATATATCTTGACCAATCATTAGGGGAAAACAGCATTTTATACTAATTTGACTAAACTTTGAAGAGATCAAAAGAAGCTCTAATTCTTTGCCTGAGTAGTTGCTCAGGAAAGTTTCTTTTTTTCATGGGAAGGCTATGTCTAAGAATATTGTGCAAAGAGATTCCCCGTGATTTTCATTGACTTCTCGATTATAATACCCTGTTGATTAGGTTGCAAAGGGGTGGGTGGCTTATTTCAATTCCTGGTCCCAACTCCCAAGGCTTATTTGTCCACTTAAAGAGCAAACTTAAAGATAGAGCAATTACAGCTACTGGACAAATGACAAATTGACATTCTGAGCGTCGCAAAGTGAATAATGATCAAGATGACATATGCAGAGACAGAAATTCCCTGCTAAAGCAACTTACTTGAGACCCTTTCCTCGAGAAGTAACGGGATATTAGGTACAAAGCAGATCTGGAAGACAACCGTGATCACATAATTAGATGACAACATTTTCAATGTAGTTTTTTTTTTTTGGATAGGAACTTTCAATGTAGTTTTCATGTTTCAGTCACAAGATTGTGTTTCTTTGGAAGTAAAAGAGGATTCAAAAAGTTTCCAGTAGGATTAAAAAATGGTCAAAAATTAAAACAACTTACATTGACGGCATTCGTTTGAAAAATAAATGTTCCCAAACATCTTGAGGAATCACACATGTCTTCATCAAATCCTGAACAAAGAAATTGCTACATGAGGGACTCGAGCAAATGTTCTAGGATGTTAACAATACAGTAGAAAGACTCGGCCTAACTACTTAGAACAAGAAAGTACAGTCATCGGGACATATGGAACTTACTCGTTCAATTATTTTTCCAAGAAGCAAAAGAGCAGCTTCTGCCTGCATTGATTCTTAAATACAATGAACCTCAATATAGCATAGCCTTAAAATGTATGTGTCAAAATATTTATTTTTACAAGACATAAGTTCATACTCCTGAGGTGAATTCTAAATAAAAAAGAAAAGTGACCAGACACCTATTTTATTTGTAATAAACAAATCACCATCTATTATATAATCAGAATTCGGCCACGTATACTTGTAGGAAGTTGATTTTAGCACAAGGACATTTCAGTTAGATGCTTTACCTGGTAGCTTGATATAGTAGGTTTTTTAAAACCAGAAACGAAACATTCCATTGATGTAATGAAGAAAAAAATAGAAAAAGTTCAAAGATACAATCTCCCAAAAGGGGAGAAAATAGCAAAAATTAAGAAGCAGAATCTAACCGGGAAAATAGATGCATCCCTATTAAAACAAATATTGTGAAAAGATTAATGATCAAACAAGGATGATAAAGAACTTGGTAAAGTAGGTTAGTCAGCCAGTATTTAGTAAATTTATATTTCCAGTTTCGGTTAGGTAATCAGTCATGAGAATTTGTTGAATCCAAAGGATCATAAATGGCATTGACACCAACAATAAGGAAATTTCTAGAGTTGAAAGGATTCAAGATGCAATACAAGCTCTTTTCCAACGGTCTACTACAATATTCCATCTGGGCCATTTCTTTACCTACCAATTTATTATCTCCCCATCTTCTATGCTCCAAAGGTGGTTGTGTCCAAAATTGATAGATGTATAAGAAACTTTCTATTTTAAGAATCCAATCCATAAAAAAGACATTTTTTTTAACAAGAAACAACTTTTCATTGATATATGAAAAGGAAAAATGTTCAAGATACAAACCCCAAAGGGGTGAAAAAAGAAGAGAAAGAATAAGAGAAAATAACGGAGAATTAGCACAACAAGAGCAATACAAGCTCGAAGAAGATAAAAAGCATTCTAAACTAGAATTCAGAAAAACTGCTTGCTACAGAGCTTGAAAATCAAACTAATTCCAAAGCCAACAATCGCATGAGGGAAAAAACCTTCCTTAGCACCAAAAGTGAAGACCAAACTCCAATGAGAACCAAGTAGAAGCTAGGGACACAAGAACTAAACCGCAACCGAAATGCCAGCAAGGAGTAATCACCCAAAACTATTATTAAAAATTCTGAAATAATTCTTTTGATTGCATTAAATTTATGAACGGCCTTTCTTCTTGTCATGGAAAAGCTTTAAATTTATTAATTCTATTATTTGATCGATATGGAACACTATCGTGCCGGTTGATTAATTAGTAAGATTTGATTATTGATAAGGATAACATGCAGCTATCTCAAAGTCTTATTCCAGCTTTCTGCAAGGAGTTATGGAGCTTGGAAAATCCAGAAAAATGCAAAGTTCTTCAATGGTCTCTTTCCTTGAGTGACCTTTACATGAATGATTGAGTTCAGAAAAGAAATCACAGTGGATACCTCAATCCTTAAGAGTGTTGACTTTGCAGAAGAGCTTGGAGGATACCAATAACCTCTTTGTGTTCAGTCTAGAGTTGATCGCTCTACATAGTAGACTCTTAGAGGTTTTTTAGCTTATGTTGCCCTGACCTAGACTTTTTCCAATACATTTTACGGTGCAACGTCCTTTTGGTCAAAAGCTGAAAAGTTACTTGAAAGTTACTAAAAGTAAACAATGTTTGTGCATTATTTCGAGAAGTTTGGCTCAAGTGCGAATCTTACACATACATACATACATAAAAGGAAACAAGCTAAAGTTTTCAGATAATTGAAAGTTACTACAAGAAACAGGAATTTAAGCTTCAATTAAGAGCATAAAGCTGAAACCCCCATTCCATAACAAACTTTCCATAAATAAATCAAAGAAACGAAAACGAAACGAAAAACCAATTGTTTGTGATATCCTGTAAAAGAGTGCAATTAAATATATCATTCCCAAGCCACAACAAGAAACGCAAACTTACCACCACAAACACGTGACTAAACATGGGCAAGCCATGCATCAAACAACTCCATATTGATTGCCAGCCTTGATGCAACTGCAATTTCAGTCAAACAAATTCAATCAATTTTCAATAGGAGCAAGGAGTGTCCCTCACTCACAAGAAGGAAAAAAAAAACTGTCGTATTATTTTATTCAACAATGTATTTCAACAAGATTTCAATAATGTTGTAGTCATCAAAAAGATCTTGGTTCGTAGCTTTCTAATTTCCATCAAAAAGATCTTAATAAGATTTCTAATTTCCGTCTAGCTTCCTTTTGTGAAGAAAGCACCTCTTCCTCGAATGCTTCATTAATAATCTTAACATGAATGCCACACACATTGTCATCCAATCTGTTCTCATTAAATGGAACATTAATACCCAAGTCATGCATGGAAGACGTTCCTCTTACGTCACCTACTTCATTGCGGAGTTTGTTGTTCAAAGAATCCCATTAATGTGTACCTCTCCTTTTTCTGCAGATAAAATAACGTGTTAACTTGAAGACTTCATTACTTCCAGAATTCTTCCTTCATCAAGCTTATTTGTGAATCGCCATAGATCCAACTTCTGAGAATTTAGAAACTTCTTTGGAGAAACATCTTCTGGAGCAGCAGTCTAATGGCAATCAGAAACTCGTACACTTGTGTTAAAGATGAATAAATCACCACTCAACCCAAAAGCTTAAGCTCATGGGTTGGGTAAATTTAATTCATATATTGGATATCTAGCACTCCCCCTCACTTGTGGGCTTGGAAAATTGCAACAAGACCCAACAAGTGGAAATTATAATAAATAGGGAGGAAATAACAATGCCGAACACAGGGATCTCCCGCTCTGTTACCATATTAAAGATGAATAAACCAGCACTCAACCCAAAAGCTTAAGCTCATGGGTTGGGTAAATTTAATTCATATATTGGATATCTAACAACTAGAACAACCCAATTTTTATTTTATAAGAAACAACGATTTCATTGAGAATAATGAAAATAGATACAAAAAGAACAAGACAGGCATACAAAAAGACAGCCCTGAAAGAGGGAACCCCCTAAAGAAAAGGGCTCTAATCCAAAAGAATGATACCTAACTGATAATTACAAAAGGCCTTTGTGACCAAACCACATAAAGAAGTATTAAATCTAATGAGATCCCAAACATGATCAACCGATATCTCCACCTCCTAAAAAGTCTATTATTCCTCTCCAGCCAAATACCCCGTAAAGTAGCCAGAAAACAAGTCTGCCACAAAAAACGCCCCTTGTCACGAGGGGGGGTGGGGGGCAATAGGAACAACCCAATTTTGGATTATTTATCCCTATTGATTCGGAGGGAATCTGCACAAATTTCGATTTGTCTGAATACTAACTTCATTGCAATCAAGAAAGTTCAAAGATTTAGAGGACACTCACTAAACCACAAAGATATGTTCCCAATGCATCGACATGTTGCCTAATCCAGAATTTCAACGGTAGGCCACAAATATTTATCCAACCACCATATCCAAAATTTACTTGTTTATTTCTATGCTTGGCAAAATTCCACTTCTCAATTTTCAAATGGAAGTCTCCCACTTCTATTTGCTTCAAGTTTTGTTTGCCATGAATGGATTAATCTAACATTGTTGCGAATACTTTTCTTTTAAAGCAAAAAAATCTTTCTCCATTCATCATGAGAAAAAAGTCTAGTAACAACCATGAGATATTCCAATCAATCTCAACTACCTCGCCTCATTTCTTTCTTGACCCATTGCTAGTACTTTTTTACATTTCCTTTCCATGAAAATGCTAGAACTAACTTTTTTTCTCCTCCATGACAACCTTTTTTTTCACTCTATAAATCTTCCTTTTTCCTCTAATAGTGTCAGCATAGGAGAGTTAGGACTTAACCACCGAAGTCGTCTTGATTTTTTTTTTTTTATAAGAAACAGAATGCACTGGACCAAAAAATGGAGAAGACAACCCGAGGGCAAGGGCCGAGGAGGCCATCCCCTGGAGAGCTAGCTACCACATTACAACTTTCTAATCTCGTGAAAGTAAGGCTATACCGTAATTACAAAAGAATCTCCTATGAGTAAGGCACCAAAAGACCGTAGCAATTTCTACATTTTTAAAAAATATATCAAAAAGGAGAAAGGTATTGTTGAAAGCTCTTTCGTTCCTTTCCTTCCAAATACTCCGAAGAAAAGCTCTACCAGCACAACCCCAAAGAATCTTAGCTTTTCCTTACAAAGAACCCTCAGACAATTTCAACAAGCCAATCATCTATCAAACGTTGAAGACACCCCGAGAGACCACATTTCCTCATCAAAAAAGACCAGCACCTTGTTACAAAGGTGCAACTAAGGAAGAGGTGGTCAATTGTTTCCTCATTCCTAAGGCCGAGAGAGCAACCCGAGGGGGATAACACCCTTTTTTTTAATATCCGTGAGTGTCCGAACCAGCCTTTTTTATAACACCCAATTTTTTAGTTTTTTCTAAAATTTTACATGGGTATTGATGCTTCTGTAAGCAAGACTCCATAAAAACACTTTGATAACTTCCAAACCAAATTTATAAAAGGGGATTTTAGTTCATGGGAGACTTCCATTAACTTGAGGAAGTCATCTTGATTGAAATTTTCCATTATTTCTAGACAAACACACCTTCAACATATCCTAGAAAGCAGACTCAAACTATGGTGGTCGCCTACCTATGATTTAATATCTTACAAGTTATCTTGGAATCAAATGTAGTAGGATCAGACAATTATCTCATGAGATTAGTCAAGGTGCGCGTAAGCTGGCCCGAACACTACGGATATCAAGAAAAAAAATATCCCAGAAAGCGAGCAAGCCACCTCTGTTATGTCCAGAGAGGCCATAACATTATTTCAACCTCTAGAAGTAGGTCATACAACACATTCAACATGGAATCTAAAGTCAATTTGAATCTTTTGAATATACCAAACTCATCTCTATCTTGTTTTAATAAATGTGCTTGAATTGGATTGTGCATCAACTCAACAAATAAATTTTCAGACCACTTTAATTTAGAAGACTATCAAAATATTCCTCTTCATGTCTTCAACAACGAAGCACTCACTCTTAGCCTAAACACAAATATGTGATGTAGTTTGTATGTTGTGTTGGTTAGTTAAGTTGTTAGTCTTATGTCTACTAAGTTGTTAGTATTTTAGTTGTTGTAATTGTTAGTTACTGTGTGGTTAATGGTCCAGCAGCCTCTATAAATAGCTGTTGGATTTCAATGTTTAGGAGATATAATTCTCTTCAAGAAATCCACCCGTGTATTGTACACCAAATTGGTATCAGAGCAGCCCGTTTTCTAGGTTAGATGACGGGAAAGAAGTCGATCAACTTGGGCGACTCTTCCCTCGATAACAAAGAAGTGGAGCAAGCCTCCATTCTCTCGCCACGATCACCAACCGCACACTTGATGTCGGTTGAAGGGGAGGTGAAAACCATCCAGCGGGATGTTGGCGAGATTAAACAAATTTTGGAGATCATCCATGACAAGCTCGAGGCAATGAGTGTGCAACATTCACCGGTTCGAAACACAACTCTGCCGCAAGAAAGAATGGATCAAGAAGCAAGGATGGATGACCGTAGACAAGTTTTTCCCAAGAAAGGCAAGCTGATCCACCAAGAAGACCACGGACAGTTCGTTTGGGTCCAAGAAACCTTCAAGAACCGTGCCTTTTCTAGCAAGAAGTCAATCGCAATCCTCTGTTTCAACGGCGACGCGAGAATATGTTTGATTCTTCAAGTGATGAGGACGAAGAGATAATCGCCTTTGAGGGGGAGCGTTTTGGTAGGTATCCTAACCCAAATAGGAATCAAGAACAAAATGATATAAAATGAAAATTGATCTTCCTGGATTCTTCGATTGGGTTAAGAATGTAGAAAATTTCTTTAGTTATATGGGAACTCCCCATCACAAGAAAGTTTGATTGGTGGCATTAAAACTAAAGGGAGGAGCATCGACTTGGTGGAACTAGCTAGAAGTTAATAGGCATCGTTATGGGAAGCAACCCATCCGCAATTGGGAACGTATGAAAAAGCTTATGCTTGAGTGTTTTCTCCCAATAAATTTTGAACAAGTTTTGTACAATCAGTACCAGAATTGTAGGCAAGGGACAAGATCCATAACTAACTATTCCGAGGAGTTTCATTGGTTGGGTGCAAGAACCAACCTTTTGGAAAGCCAACAACATTTGGTTGCAAGATTCATTGGTGGCTTACGGTCAGATATTAAAGAACAGATTGCTTTGCAACCAATTGGTTACCTCAATGAGGCTATCTCCACCGCAACCACCATTGAAGAGCAAGTTGGCAATCGTTCCAAGAAACAGTATGCACAGCACAGTACTTGGGATCAGGGCGGCACGTCCAAACAGTCCACTATTCAAGGAGACAATACCACTTCCCCCAACCTTTCATCCATAGCTCCTAAAGGTAAGTCCCTTGACACTGATTCTAGTAAACCTAAACAAGATGATAGTGTGGCAGGGAAAAAACAGGGGAATGTGTACTCTGCCAAACATTGGGTAAATGCTTTTGGTGTGGACAAACCGGACATTTATCCAATGATTATCCTCAACGGAAAGCTGATAATATCATTGATGAGGAGGATGTACAAGAAGACAGTGGGGAAGAGTTAGACGAGGATGTTGACCATGCCGCACCAGATGATGGGGACCCTGTCTCATGTGTACTTCAACGAGTCTTGTTGACACCAAAAACAGAGGTAGCCTACCAAAGACATGCTCTATTCAAGACTAGATGCACCATAAACAGGAAAATCTGCAATGTTATAATTGATAGCAGCAGTACGGAAAACATCATTGCATGTAAGTTGGTGAATACCTTGCATCTGCCTTTATCCCCTCACCCCACCCCATATAAAGTGTCTTGGATTAAAAAAGGGGGTGAGGCACATATCACACATACTTGCACAGTGGCATTATCCATTGGTGCAACATATAAAGACCAAATTGTGTGTGACGTATTGGACACGGATGTTTGTCATATTTTACTTGGAAGGCCATGGCAATTTGATACCCAAGCTCTCCATAAAGGTAGAGATAACACTTTCGAGTTCCTCTGGATGGGCAAAAAAGTGGTCCTTCTACCATTACATCCTTCCAAATATCTTCCTTTGAAAGACAGTGAAAAAGGGAAGGGTAGCCTTTTCACTGTTTGTTCTGCAAAACAGTTCCTTGGACAGTCTAAAGAACCTATTCTAGGATTTATTGTTAAAGAATTTGGTTCGGAGGAGGGTAGTTCTCCTATTCCTCCCAATATAAGTCAGTTATTGAAAGAATTTGATTCCATTTTGGAAATACCAACTGGATTACCCCCTCTTCGAAATATTCAGCACAATATTGACTTTTTTCCGAGGGCATCACTCTCTAATTTAGCACATTATCGAATGAGCCCATCTGAATACAAGATACTTCATGATCAAGTCCAGGACTTACTTGATAAAGGGCATATACAACCTAGTCTAAGCCCATGTGCGGTGCCCGCCCTCCTAACTCCAAAAAAGGACGGCACTTGGAGAATGTGCGTCGATAGTCATGCCATAAACAAAATAACATTCAAATATAGGTTTCCCATACCCAGGATCTCAGATCTTTTAGACCAGTTGGGCGGTACTACAATCTTTTCTAAGGTTGATCTCAAGAGTGGATATCACCAGATTCGCACTAGACCCGGAGATGAGTGGAAAACCGCCTTCAAAACGAACGAGGGGTGTTTGAATGGCTTGTTATGCCATTCGGGTTATCTAATGCTCCAAGTACATTCATGCGACTTATAAACCAGGTTTTGTTCCCTTTCATTAACAAATTTATTGTTGTTTACTTTGATGACATTCTCATCTATAGCCTTAATATGCATGATCACCTAGAACACCTTAGATTACTTTTCACTACTTTGGCTTCTAATAAAATAGTAATCAATATTAAAAAATGTCTCTTTGTTACAGATGAAATATCCCTCTTAGGTTTCATCATTGGGCATAATAAATTAAAAATGGATCCTTCAAAGGTTAAAGCCATAGCTGAATGAGGGGAGCCTAAAACAGAAAAGGATGTCCAATGTTTCTTAGGGCTTGCATCATTTTATAGGAAGTTTATTAAACATTTTAGTTCGATAGTCGCCCCCTTAACAATCTGCTTAAAGAAAGGACAATTCTCTTTGGGTCAACCACAAATAGACAGCTTCAATATCATCAAAACTAAGCTATGCCAAAGCCCCGTCCTAGCCCTCCCAAACTTTGATCCCCTTTGAAGTGGCTGTTGATGTGTCCGGGATTGGTATAGGCGCTTTCCTATCTCAAAATAATCACCCTTTAGAATACTTTAGTGAGAAACTTAGCCCATCCCGTCAAAAGTGGAGCACTTATGAACTAGAACTTTATGTCCTTGTCCGTGCGTTAAAACAATGGGAGCATTATCTCCTAAGCAAAGAGTTTATATTGTTTACAGATCATTTTTCCTTAAAATTTTTGCATAGTCAAAAGACAATAAGCCATATGCATGCTCGTTGGTTGTCATTTTTGCAAAGGTTCGAATTTATGATTAAACACAAAGCAGAGATAACTAATAAAGCAGCAGATTCTTTAAGCCGGAAAAACAACCTATTAGCCATCCTTAAGGGTGAAATTATTGCCTTTGATTATCTCCAAGATTTGTATGAATCAGATAAGGATTTCCAAGACATTTGGTACAAATGTTCTAATCATATGACCATAGAAGACTACCATGTCGTTGAAGGTTACTTATTTAAAGGAAACACACTTTGTATCCCACACACTTCCCTACGGGAAGCCATTCTGCGAGATGCTCATGTTGGTGGCCTTGCGGGGCATTTAGGCCGCGATAAGACCCTGGACATCGTATCCTCTCGATTCTATTGGCCCCAAAATCCGCAAGGATGTCTCTAACTATGTCACTAAATGCTTTACTTGCCAAACATATAAAGGCACTATGCAAAATACCAGACTTTACACACCTTTACTAATACCCAAGAGTATATGGGAGGACCTGTCCATGGACTTCATTTAAGGACTCCCCCGAACACAACAGGGATTTGACTCAATTATGGTAGTCGTAGACCGTTTCAGCAAAATGGCACATTTTGTGGCGTGTAAAAAGACCTCTGATGCTATAGCTATAGCTACATTATTTTTCCGAGACATTGTCCGTCTCCATGGAATTCCTAAATCTATAGTTTCGGATCGTGATGTCAAATTTTTAAGCCACTTTTGGCGCACGTTGTGGAAGAAATTTGAAACATCCTTGAAATTTAGCACAACGAGTCACCCGCAAACTGATGGCCAAACGGAGGTTACAAACCGATCATTAGGCAATCTCATCCGATGTATCAGTGGGGATCATCCTAAGCAATGAGACATGTCGCTAGCTCAAGCAGGATTTGCCTACAACCATATGAAGAACAAAACTACAGGGAAGTCACCATTTGAGGTAGTCTACACTAAACTTCCTAGATTAACCTTAGATTTGACAAATCTTCCTTCCTCTGTCGATCTCAGCTTGGAGGCAGAAGAAATGGCAAGCCGTGTGACAGAATTACATCAGGAGGTTCGGGGCCACATTGAACAATCCAATTCTAAGTACAAGGCTGCGGCTGACAAGAAAAGAAGAGCGAAAGAATTCCAAGTGGGTGATTTAGTCATGATTCATCTAAGGAAAAGCCGATTTCCAACGGGAACCTACTCTAAACTCAAAAAGAAGAAGTTGGGACCCTTTAAAGTAATCAAGCGCTTTGGATCTAACGCTTACAAGCTCCAACTTCCAGCTACTTACAACTTCAGACCCATATTCAACGTGGCTGATCTCTACGGTTATAACCCACCAGATTCCTTTCAAATAACCCCTTAAACTCGAGGACGAGTTATTTTTAAGGGTCAGGGAATTGATGTAGTTAGTATGTTGTGTAGGTTAGTTAAGTTGTTAGTCTTATATCTACTAAGTTGTTAGTCTTTTAGTTGCTGTAATTGTTAGTTACTGTGTGGTTAATGGTCCAGCAGCCTCTATAATAGCTGCTGGATTTCAATGTTTAGGAGATATAATTCTCTTCAAGAAATCCACCCGTGTATTGTACACCAATATGCATACCCTCAATGCAGCGACCGTTAATTTCCATAATGCATGGGAAGAATCCTCAAGAAAACTAATCTTGATCTAAAAGAAACAATTCTTGAATACCTAACTTGAAGCAAATCCTCAAACGTATTGGAAGGAAAACCTAAGAGAAGAGAGCATTTTTCTACTATTCAATGGGTATCAATAAAAAATTTTATTACCTTAAAAAAAAAAGAAAAAAGAAAAAAGAAAAAAGAAAAAAGAAAGAATGGGTATAAAATATTATATACAACATAAAAGCTTCTCTGGTTGCCTTTTACTTTTGAAGTGTGGAGTTGGGTGTGGTAAAGTTTTAGGTTATTGTGCAAAAGGCAAGCTTTTACGATATGATGAAGTTGTTTGAGACCTTTCCTTCAAGGGAAAGGTTATATTCTCTGGCAGACAGGTTTCTTCATTGTTTCTTTTTTTAACAAAGAATCAATGAAAAGGGAAAAATGTTCAAATATTTGGGAGAGAAAGAGAACTAAACAGCCAAATAAAAAACAAACCTCCAAATATTACGAGAGAATAGAGCATTGAAGAACAAAACACTAATATATTGACAAAACAACGAGACGAAAAGGAATATGAGAATGTTTTTGGGAGCAATTAGTTCATGGGGAGATGTTTGGACTCTCTTTGAACTCTTAATTCAAATTTATTTTGAAATTATCCATTATTTTTTATTGCCAGAAGTTGGAAATCTTTTTTGTAAGTTTTGTTATTCCCTCTTTTATGGGCTTTATTTGTTCTCAGCTCATTCATTTATCACAATGAAAGTTGCTTTCCCATATGAAACAAAACAAAACAAAGAAACTAAAAAAAAAGGAACGTACCTTGTCCTCAGATGAACTTTCGGACCTTTCAACAGAATCCAATAACACCACAGAAAGTTCTTGCAGACTCCTTCAAATTCATGTGGGTACACAGACATATGAGCTCAATGAGACGGGGAACTGGAATATATACTTTCACTTGAAATAATAAATAAACAGGAATGTGAATGAACACCAGGCAGCTAAATGTGGCATTAACTTGACTACAGGTTTGTATATTCAGAAGATTAATATAAACATGAAAAACATAGTAGCTTACCGCAATGTCCACAATAAACCATCATATGAATTCCCCACATTTGCATCTTTCACTATTCTGCAACATGCTCAAAAAGATTGAAATTGTGTCCCCATGCTCTTTTTCACGAGTGTTATTTGTAGATTTAGTTAGCATGAATATTATGATTTTCTTAGTAGCTTTGATTAGCAATTTAGCATGAACAATGTGATTGTCCTTTTTCAGTATTGACTAGCATGTATCATGTTGTATGACACGCATAAAGAGAAGGCTTGCAACTAGTACCTTCGCATCAAACTCAAATAGAACAAATTCAAGAATATATTAATGGTTTATAAATTATTTTATGAAAGGCAATGTATTTAAGCAAAAGTCACCCGATCTAAATAGTATCTCTCATATCAAACCAGATGAAGTGAAAAACAAATTTTAACGTCATACTTGAAACATGCAATATCGTAGAAACTGTTAAGACTTAATATAAAGTTGGCATTTCATGAGGTTTAAAGAGGCAGTGACAATTATGATTAGAAGAAGGATTAAAATGAAGATGAAAATAAAAAAGGATTAGTTTCAGTGGCTCTTTGTTTCAGTGGTCTTCACTGTCACTTTGCTCATCAATGTTCTATTTTGGCTATTGTAATTTTTTGGATTTTTACTGTATTATTTTGGTTGCTTGTTCTTTTCACTCCCTTTGAGAGGTTGTGTCCTTGAAATTTTTCTTTCTTTTCAGAAATGTTATAAATTGTAACACTTCTGTCGATGAAAAGTTTTTCTTGTTAGAAAAAAAAGTCACCAAAAAAATCAAATCTTATAAATTGTAAGGAACATGAGCTCTCATTACGGTTTGGTCCTTGATAGGTTTTTACATCTCTTTAGACTTCGACGGTCAAGGATATTTAACTACTCTTTAAGTCTTATTTTGTTAGATTGGAGCCCTTTTTTGTTTTAGTTTGGCTCCCTTTGTCAGGGTTGTCTTTGTATGCACCTTGTATTCGTTCTTTTTTTTCGTGAGTTTCTCTTCAAAAAAAAAATACAGATAGGAGATATAGTTTCCCATAAAAAAATCAATATGAGACAGAGATACAAAATACCTTGTAAAAAAAACCTAAAATTAAACTATTAACCTATGCAAAAAGGCATCATAGCATGCAACTAGAAAACATGAAAATCCATCGGAACTGGCACTAGGGTACAAGAAGTCTCACCATGAAGTAGTGGCTAAGTCCCGATATCACAAATATCAAAAGAAAAACATGACACAAATGCTCTAAGACAAAGAGCCTAAGGCAGAGGAATAATCTAATATCACAGAGAGATGGTAAATCTACAACATGAAACCAAAGTTACCTCTCAAAACCTAAGGAAATTGCCTCAAACCAGTAAATGAAAAGATCCTTACTGATGCGGGAATGGTAATTATGGGCTAGACAACAGAAAGCTGCATTCCTACAAGATAATCAATCCAGTCACAAAAATAATGTCCCAGCCCCCAGTTAAATTAATAAATAATGCAAGATCACGTTTCCATAATCATACAGCTTAGAAATTTACCATAACCATTTCCCTTTAGCAAGTGCCTCTTTAAGATGAACACTAGCTGGGTCCCTTTTAACCCGCTTTTCAGTTGATATTGCTTTTGTAGGGGTGACACATGCCTAAATAAATAAATGAAATCCATGTGCAACCAATCAGGGAAATTTCTAGTGCTCAAACACTATGGGAATAATCACCACTCAAACAACTAAATTATGGTCCTAAGATTTCTGCAATATAAAAAGACCAACAACCAACAGGAGAACTCATAACTAAAATTAGAAGACAGAAAGTTATGACAGAAGAAAGATTAAGATGAAATGAAATAAAATCTAACAAATTAACAGAAGAGCAGTCGAAAAATTTTGGATACTGATTTGGGATCTCGTTAGAGCAAGAACCATCTTATTGCACATTAAGTGATCGATTCAAAATAACAGCTCACGTCAGTGTAGCATGGTAAATAAACGTGGAAGTACAGTTTGTTTAGAGTACCCGATAGAGTACAGCTGCAGCAAGTTCTACCAACCCACAATGAGAGCTGCTCAGAGTTCCAAATTTATCATCTTTGTTAGTATCAGACCTGAAACACATCAAGTATTTCCAATTATCATGCATTATCAGATTATAAACAAGTTTCAACCTGAATCAGTTAAAAGGAAAAAGGTGAAATCAAGAGAGAATACGAAAATACAAACCAAGGCACCCCAACACTAGATATACTGCTTTGATCTAGTTCCTTGTAAAGTACATCGAGTAGTTGTTCTATAAAAAATCTCTCATCGTCAGCTCCTCTCATTAAACTTGTCTGCAACCTCCCATAGAGAACAAGAGCATCCTGCCAAAGTAACAAGTTAGGAAAATGTTATTAAAATAATAAATGAAAAGAACTAATAGTTAAGTTTGTCAAACTTATTTCATACCTTTAGAGCTCGATCATGGGTCGCCATCCAGCACCGAAACACAAATTGCTGCACAGAATTATGGATTTCCAATAAGTTACTACCAAGATTAGGACCATCCTTTAACAGGTATGTATTAACGCACTCAATAAGCTTGCGTGATATTTTTCCTTCGTCCCTGACCAAGAAAAAGAATTCATTGTTTCACTAAAACAGACCAATGATAGAAATGCCAAGATCAAGTGAACAAATCATGGAATGGATACACAAGAATCAAAATGGTATCAATTTGGGTTAAAGGCAAGTATTATCAATTACCTCACGAGAGAGAAAATCTTAGCAATTCCATTTACAATTTCATGCCTAATACTATCAGGAAAGTCACCAGGAGGATTTTCCAAAAGTGAATAGAGTGTTAAGATGCACGGGAGGAGCTCCTCCTTGGAAGTATAATGGTTATCATTCTTCCCAACTAAGCTTCCTTCCACCTTCTCCAAGTATAAAAGCATGAGGTCTTTCCACATGGAATGGAGAAGTTAAGATGAAATTAAACATTATATAGTAATCCCGATGATAAGTAATTGTAAAGATGAAATTTAAATGTCAGACATAAATCATAATAATAAACATTTCTCAGGTTGAGGTATGACAGAACTTACTGCAATATATGCGCTTCCTCATATGAAAACGATAATCTCTCACAGCAACTAAATGCCTGATTATAATCCCATAGTCAGATTGAAAGGATGATATACTACTCAACACATCCCATACATGAGTAAAGAGCATCTTAACCACAGATATCAATGGTACTGCATTGCCTGAGACAAGTAAAACAAGCATCATAAGTGTAACTTTCAGATATCCTGTCAAGAAAGCTTTGGTAACATTTACAAATGGAGTTCCATTGCTAAACAATAATTGAAAATCTATGACCTAAAAAATTGAACCAATAACAAACTCGACTTATAAGAAAAAGTAATTTTAAGTATGAATGTTTTGCTCTACAGGCTGTTATTTTTTTTATTCTTCTCACTTATCCTTTGGCTTTTTCTTTTTTGTTTGGCTATTTCTTGTGCAGCGTACTTTCATTCTCGTTGGGAGTTTGTATCCTCTTAATATTGTATTTCCTTTGCATTATTTCAATGAGAAGTTTGTATCTTACTCTAAGAAAGATATGGTTCATGAGTAGTTTCCTAGTCAAGAACATGAAGTGCTTCTACTTTATTTGTTTGAGAACTATTTTCAAAAAAAAAAAAAAATCTTTTTTCTAAATGTTTCTCTTTTTTGAAAAATAATAACAGACTTCTTATTAAGTTTAATTAAAATGAAAAGAATCAGATTCAAAAACATGCCAAAAGGCCTTAATCACGGGAGTCTACAAAAACGAACTCCAATTGGTAAAAGAAACTGCAAAGTACTGTAGTTACGAAAAGATTAAGTGAGAGTACTCCAATTGGATATCAAAAAGATAAGACCATATCTAGAGTACTCCAACTGCACCCGAATTAAACCCTCCGAAATACCCCTTTTCCTAGAGAAGAACTGCACCTTCAAGTCAGACAAGACTCCCTCCAAACAATCTCTCGCCCATGCTACCCTACCAACTGCAAAACCAAGACGTCCTTCCATTACTCTCCACAACACCACACTTCTCCCCAGGGACCTACTGGTAAACTCAAAAGTGTTCTATCAATCCTATCTGCTACTGCTAATATAGTTTTCTGGTTGGCTCTCATATATTCACCGCCCAGTCAAGGGAGTGAGGCAAGCACACCCTCAAGCAATCAAAATTGATCTTCGTTCTTCTTCACCGACGCTTGGGAATGATATTTAGAGAATTGAGCATTCCACTTACAATTCAAGGGAAGACGGTTTAAACTTTACATTAAGTTTTCAGTTAAACTTCATTATTTAAATATCTTGAACTTTTAAACAACCATATGCATTTTTAAATATCTTTTTAAACTGTTAAACAGCCATATGCATTTTTTTAATAAGAAACCAAGCTTTAATTAAGATAAATGAAATAATAAACAGCCATATGCATTATTTGAACTCGTATAAATTAAAAAGAGTTTACGAATACTGAATCCAAGCCTTTTTTCATTATAAGAAAAAGAGAGATCACGAAAAAATGACTCACTGAGCCGAGATCACTTATAAATTGAGACAAAAGATAACTGCCTAGAGGCTATAGGAAACGGAGGAATCAAACAAAAGGCCTCCAATCTAAGTTGATAAAGACTAAAGGGATTTTACAAAAGGAATTATGAGTAGCAATGCGATGAGAGGCTAGGCTATAATTTGACTTGACCCTATCACAAAAATTTACAAAAGAAACATAACTATCAGAAAGGCTTGGTTCGTTTTCATAGAAGTCACAGCGTTAGACCACAATAGTCTAGGAGCCGGATAACCACTCTGAAATACTATAGTTTAAATTTAACAAGAAGTATAGTTTTCTTAATTTTAATCTTTTTGTAAACTCATTTCTCAATCACAAACCAAACAATCTACAAACACTTTTCTTTTTGTATATGTCATGCATTTTTTTTTTCAACAAAATGTTTCATCTTTGACACACATGAAGATAAGAGCTGGCATCCCATATAAGTGAGCTAACACTTTCATTGAACAAAATCACCAATCTTGTACCTCCCCCAACACTTTTCTAATTTGTAGGACATGCTTGAGAGTTGACATTGACAAGTCAAACTCATATTTATTTTATTGAAATACAATAATTTCAAAAGAAATATGAAATTACAAGAAGGACTGCAGGTGTAACCAAATAAATTATAAAAATAGTTATAAAAGCACCAAGCAAGAAGTACAATTTTTCAGCTTGTAAAAGTAAACTGCATGCAGACAAACATTACAAACAAAGACCCACAACTCGCAGTTTGCAATAATTTTTATAAAAATAGTTATAAAAGCACCATGCTCGCAAGTTTGCAAGAAAAGCTGTGATGTGATGATGACATATTTCAATCACTCACCAGAAAACTTATTATCTTCCGCTTTTTGAACAACAACTCTCAGGGTCTTTGCAAATATTGACTTTGGCAATCGCCGCTTGCTTGAAGATATCTCCATGGACACACATTGGATCAACAATTTAGTGATGAAAGGCCATGTTTCAGCTGAGGATAAAATAAGATAAATTACTTCTTTAACACGGTGATTGAGGATTGACAGGAAAACATGTGCAAGTCAAATTGGCGGTTGAACATACAAGATGGAATTTCTTCTGGCCTGAGCTTAGCCGTATTGTGTCCAATAAATTTACAGAAGTCAATCGCTTTGTCTCCCTCTAACCATGTATTCAACAACTTTACCCCTTCCTGTGAGCACACAAAAAGAACATGAATATAATGATTGCTAAGCTAGGATGATTCTTCATCTACTACGTGGTGATCAATACTAACGGAACTTGCAAGGTGATAGAATGAGAACAATCGCGCATAGAACCCAGATACAACTGTCTGGCTACATTATATTATTTTTCAGGATACAACAACTCAAAAAAAAAATTGCGAAAACTGGTTGCAGTGTGATACTCCACATTTTCTCTAAGAAACCTACATGAATGCCAAAAGGGTATTTCGAACTCCCTCTATTGATTGAATGCATATCAAAAACATAAAATAAAACTTCTCACAACTCATGAACTACAGAGAGAGAGACATTCAATCAACTGTTGGCATCACGCATGTCTTGAGCTGAGCATTCACAGTTTCTTATCAAGCCCGGGCGAAAACAAGTCGAAAATATGATCAGAGGCAAGATAATGGATCTTACTTCACGAGCTTTAGCTTTATCCGAAGAGAGCTTTGAAATGATGTCTTGGACGTCTCTGGAGGTGACCATGGCGCAGCTCCGTGCTCCGATTGCGATGCTCCGATGGCAGTAATGGATGGAAGAGCTCAAACTGGTGAACTTCTAAGATGATATTGAATCGGTTGTAGACATAGTAATGGCGGGAAGGAGAGGAGAGGTCTGGCAGTGAAAAGGCTGTGACTTGCGAAGGGATGCAGAGGGAGGTTACAAAGACTCTGCTGCTGACCGCTCAAGTGCTCAAACAAGCCTACTAGAAGACTCGGTGGAAATAAATATATCAGACTCAAAAAGGTTAAATTTTAGTTTCTTCTTTTTCTTTCCTTTCCTTTTCTTTCTTTTTTTTTTTTACGTACTTTTTCTTTCTTTACTTGGTTAGGTATGATTATTTTATTTCTAAAATTTATTTTATTTTTATTTTAGCCTTTGTAATTTTAAAGTTTTATTCGTATTTTCATAAATTTATTTAAAATTTAAAATAATCATTTTGTGTTAAGCTATGAGATTAATTATATGGGATAGGATATCGAACTTATGATATTTTAGTTTAACATATATGTCAATTACCGTCGAGCTGTGTTGGTTTTGGTTTTAGATATTAGAGTTGAAAATTATTATAATTTCATGAATCATAATCTACATTTTTTAATAGATAGTTGTCTTCTTTTTTTAATTATCTAACATTAATTTTGTTAATAAGAAAACAAAATGCAACATTGACTCAAATTAGAAACAACTAAATATTCGTCTTGCCAGCATAAACTAGCTCACTAACAATCGATGAATATTCCAATAAAATGTCATAGCAATATAAATTATTGTAAAATACTAGTAGAGTAGATAGACCAATAGTACACTAGCAAGTTGTTTCATTTTCATATTTCATCTCATAGCCATTACCACCAAGACATACAACAGTAGTTCGCATCCTGATGCACCACTAGGTCTACACAACGTTGTTTAAGATTCCAGCAACTCAATCACAAAACCGACTACGGCGGCCATATCGATTTCATCTAAATCTTACTCGATAATTTTTGTTCAGTACAAAATATAAATGTGAGAATTCGAACTCACAATCCATGGATAAGAGATAGATATCTAAATTTTGTTTGAAAAATTACATTCATGCTATATCATCTTTATTTCCTGATCATACCTAAAATGTTGGTGCATGACGAATTAATCGTGTATTTAATTATAAAAAAAAAGGAAAAAAGAAAGAGAGGAGAATGAATGTTGAACTTTAAAGCAAAGTAGAATTGACCAAAAGACATAAGCTCTAATTAATGGATCAAATGTAACAGAAAGGTTTGCACAATTACGAGACTCAATTTATTTGGTCGGTTTCCAATTGGAGCAGCGTAAATTACTGAAAGTTTGAACAAATTTTCTGATAGTTTAATTAAAATTAATGCTCTTATAATGCCATACTTCGTTATTTAATAATTTAATTTTTTATTAAAAAACAAGTCATTAAAACAAAATGTCGAAATAATTTTCCAAAACTACCGATCCACCAGCAAAGTAATATACATACATACATAGAGATTAAAAACCCCAGCAAAAAAGAAAATTGTATGATTAAATTACATCTTGTCTGTATAATTCTCCAACAAATTTACGGCAGTAAATACCATTTAATATGAATGAAGAATGAAACCTCTGCAATAAAAGTTTGTCGTCCTCACATACATGATATAAATGAGATTAGCACAAAACAATTTTGAATTTCCTCCCAATTTCTTATTCCTTGCACGCACTCATGGAGCTGGAGTCGAATCTTAGAGAAAATCTCACCTCCGATCAGCTGGTTTCTTCAGAAAATTATGCCCAAATCTGCAAGAAAGAAGAATTCCCATTCCAAGTTTTTGCATCTAGAGGAAATTACCTGCAAGAATTTCACCACCTCGATCACTTTCACCCTGTTGGTTCATCGTCAAATCCTGTTATAGAAGACGAAAATCTGTGCAATTTTGATCCTTTCAATCCATACTCATACGGCTCATCATCAAATAATAATATTGTTGTTGAAGATCATTTGTATGAGTATAATAAAGTTTGTGCAGATCAAAATGGCGGGTGTGGCCAAGTGATGGACAACTTCCAAAGTGGAGATTGCTACAATTTTCATCAAAGAAATCACATCGACGTAATGGGGTTGGAAAGGAATTCCATTATTCCATCGAATTTCCCAGAAATAAAACCTGTAAATTTCATTGTACCTGATGAAGTCTCTTGCATAACTTCAGGAAATGCCCGTATCCAAAAGGCTATCATGAATAAGAATGCCACTTTTCCATCTCTGTTAAGAACTTCCAAAGGTCGAAAGAAGCCCACTGTGATCAAGGGACAATGGACAGTTGAAGAAGATAGGTATAAATTTTTTCAAACATCCCAGTAAAATATATCTCGATTTTCATAAGCCTAAAATATCTAAGATTTTGAAGTTCTTGATCTAATCTGTGCCCTCTAGACATTTAGAATTAGAAGACTAGAGGGAAAACTTTTTCCCCAAGTTAGAAAAATTTATAGATTCACTATTGTGTACATTTTAGGATAGAGATTCCAACCTACAATCCTGAATAAAAAAATGTCTTAATTGCTAATCTATATCAAGTTGAGGACATTTTTCTATGTTTTCAAAATGACAACTATTATGTGATTGATATCTGTTCATATATTTTTGTTGAATGTCAATAACAGGCTTTTGGTTCAATTGGTTGAGCAACATGGACTGAGAAAATGGTCTCATATTGCAATAATGTTGCCTGGGAGGATAGGGAAACAGTGCAGAGAGAGATGGCACAACCATCTCAGGCCTGACATTAAGGTATTCTATCCACAATCAACATTTTAAGTTCCAAATTGACAAAATTGATTGCTACTGTTCTTTTACAACATATTTATGATTGAATGCAGAAGGACACATGGAGTGAGGAAGAGGACAGAGTTTTGATTGAAGCGCATACGGAAATAGGAAACAAATGGGCAGAAATTGCAAAGAGATTGCCCGGAAGAACTGAAAATTCAATCAAAAACCACTGGAATGCGACCAAGAGAAGGCAGTATTCAAAGCGAAAATGTAGATCGAAATACCCGAGGTGCTCGCTTCTGCAGGATTACATAAAGAGCCTGAATCTGGACTCGAACACGTCGCGCCACCAGAGGAAAAGCTCAGCCGCCACCGCCGCGAACAATGCCAAATCGAAATCGGTGGATCATAATCAGGCACCAACCACCGATTTTTGCCCTAACGATTGGCCGGTTCCGAATTTCGATTTCAAGGACGAAGCAGAGTTTTATTTCGACGATAATTTCTTCCAAGAAGGATGTAGCATTAACTCGCTCATGGAGGACATTGCTGGCGCCTCCGTCGATGATGCAAACAATTACGATCGGGAAAGGCCTAACGCCGCCGTAGAGTCAGTTGATTATCATCAGAGAAGCAAAGTTGAAATGCAGAAATTGCAGTATTGTGATTCGTATGTCGGGGAGACGGCGGCGCCGGCGCCGGCGGCTGCAGGTATGGAGTTTGAAGTGAAGAAGGAGCTCGATTTAGTGGAAATGATGACTCGAGTCAACGAAGTTAATAAGATGAAATGAGCCCCAGCACGTACATGCATGTGTATGTTGCACTCCATTAATAGTATGACTCTTTTTTTTTTTTTTTTAATTGCCATTAAAAAAATCATACTTTTATATGGTTGAGTTGAGGAAAAGCTGGGAATATTAAGATAGCGGATTGCTGACACTTGTACTTTCTCGTTCCTGGTTTGATTCTCTACCTTTAAAATTTCAAGTTTATTTAAGAATGTGTTTGACCTGCTTTTTAATTTTTTTTTACTCACTTTTAAATGGTTAACGTTTAAAATTGTCTGTAATACAAACTAATTTGAGAAATTATAGAACCATATAAAAACTACTTTCAAGTGTTTTTAGATGAAATATTTAGTTAGTTTTATTTCAAAAGTATTTAGTAAAAATTCAAAGTAAGAATAACTTAGCGATAATTTATGTATATCTCAAATCAAGAGATTGTAAATTCGATTTCCTATAGGATCCTATGTGTTATACTAAAAGGTGTTGATAAAAAAATTCCAAAATGCATCGTAATTACACTTAGCACTCAATAGTAGTGGTTGTATTGAATGGCCAATTGGATTGCACTATGATGTGATAATATTCTTAACAAATATTATTTCCTTTATTGAAAGTATCTCTAACACTGCGAAACTAATTTTTTAGTACAGTAATTTAAAGTAATTAAATATTTAAAAATCGCCAATAATTTATTAAAATATAATATATACAAATTAATTTTAAAAATCGAAGGAAGCTGGCATCAATTTATTTTGTTTATTAGTAATGTCTAACCAGTTAATTTGTGCCCTTAAAAGTATAGTTTTTTTTTATAGGATTTTTTTTTTAATGAAAATCTACGATAATGATGTATTGATACATAAGTAAAAACAAGACCTGAAGTAATATCAAACAATAAGTCTACGAGACATGATATTAAAGTATAATAATTAGTAATTATTGACGGGTTAAGAGAAGCTTTTCTAAAAAAGAAAACTAAGAATAGCTCGACTGGTTAAGATGCGGATTAAGGCACTTGAATGCAACAAAAATGTTACGAGTTTGAGTCTCCACCCACATATTGTATTAGAAATAAATTAGCAAATTCAATTATTCTATGAAATACTTTTTATCCTCCAAAACAATAGACTATTCTGTCCAGGCATTTAAGCTTGTGCAACAAAATTCTTTCGCAAAGGACAGTGAGAAATAAATGGACAATTCAAAACCCCAAAAAAATAAAATAAATGCAGTTTGACCAATTAAATTAATGCTTAAAAGTTTCATTTAATCAATATTAATGGGACAATTGTTTATTTCCGCATTAAGTATATAACTTGTGTTCATAACTCCTCGACAAAGGCACGAAAAGTCATTAATCTTATCACTGTGAAACATTTCGAACCTGATCTTAAAAAACAAGAGTTACAATGCCAACAGGTAGGGAGGAATTAAAAAAATATATTTATTATTGATTCTGTCTCCTATTTTTTAGAAAGATAATTAACCTTCCATCAAACATCCATTGAAAAAAAAGAAAAAAAAAATTCAGACCATCCAAAAATGATTTGAAAAATCCAATCCAAACAAAAAATAGTGATACTTGCTAGCAACAATAAGATAGTGGATTAATCCATCTAGACGTATAATTCGTTATCTCCAATTAAATTCTCACACACTCCAGCTATAAAAACAAAATTCCACAATGGTGGAGAAAAATACCACTCTACTTCTCTAACGCTTCCGATCCATCCACCACTCCACTTCAATAACACTCCAATTTAAAATGTGTTCTAACCGTAACACCCAACCATATTCAAAAAGAAAAGATCATCTCAATTATCATTCAAGATAGTGTTGAAACTTGCCAAAAGGTTCCGTACAAATTTTATTCTCAAATAGTGTACTACTTAATGTTCTTGAACTTTACTATTTCAACCGTCAAATTTTCATATTACATATTATTTACCACAAATTAAAAATAGAATTCAGAACAAGTACCACTGTTGCTGCCCTTAACTTCGAGAAACAGGTTATACAAAGAATCAATAAGTAAAAAAATAACACACTGATCATCACCTAGAAAATTATTACAATATACATCTCATTGATTAGAAAACATGTTTATTTTAACATACATCCAACAGATTGATGAAAAATGAGCTTAGGAATTATCAAAGAATAGTAACTGATACAAAAATAGGCACACCTGATCAGAGGGAAGTAGTAGGCAAAGAACCCATCAATATGATATTCTCATTATCTTTATGTTCTTTTGTTGTTTGATTTGACTTTCCAAACAGGCCTGAGAGAGATCTCAAAGGCGAAATGGAAGTTGATTTTGCCAGAAACGAGACGACAGCTCCACTTTCCTCAGCATCCATCCCTAATCCATGGCCTACCTTCGTCGAGAGCCCTTCGGTGTCATCAACTCTAAGGCGTGCCCCACAAGAACATTTGCTGAGCGTTGCAAAGCAAGGTTTATGGAATACAGATTCACATGATGCACATCTCTCCATCTCAGTTTCCTGAAGAAGGTTTTTTAAATGGTAAGGCTCCCGGATTCAAGCTTTGAAGCCAAAATTAAAATCCACCACAGACTAAACTAGGTGTTTTAATACGGTTTCCTATAATTCTCTAACTTACAGCCTCAATGAAGTACAATTGCCTATCACGCATTTGCATAGAAAAGATTAAGATCTATCTTTACCAATCATTCCCAACTTATGTATTTGAATCATTAGTAAACGAGAAGATCTGAGTGGCACATGTAACAAATTCCAATTGTCACATATTCGATGTTTCGTGCGTTAGCTAGATATGTCACCTAAGACATAAAGCAGTGCTAAAACAAGACACTACAGAATGAAACACTTCTTCAATCACAACCATGAAGAACATATATCATGGAAACATTTTATTTTCCATTGCGTTTTGTTCTTTTTTTGGGGTTATTTTGTTGAGATGCTTACCTGAAAAGGGAAAATGAGAGACAATGGGGCACTACATGCTTGTCGAGCAGCACATGAAACACCAGCATCACAGCACACAAGGCATTTCTCCTCTATGTGCTCCAAGATTTTCCTCGAGACAGTTTCCAGGATAGTAGGTAATGCTGCAAGAATAATATATGTTTACATGATGAAAAATGGACACCATAATGTTAAAGCAAAACTGACAGAATTAAGTCAAAGGCTAACCTGAAAATGCCCCTTTGGAAAGATCAATGAGGTCTCTAAGTGCAAAAAAATCATTGCTTTCGACAAGATATCTACGGCAACCAAGTCCCCTGTTAATTGACCTACGAAATGGGCAGCGAACATATGAAATTATATCTCCAATTTTTTTCCTCACACCCATAACATGAAGCAAAGCTGGAACCTTTGAGAAGAGAGAAGGATTAACAGCACTGACGCAAAGCATGGGCTGCCAAAGGAAATTCAACAACGTGTCAAAAAATACATGCTATCATTCAGTAGAGTTTCTATGCTACAAGCCACCCATATAGTAAAAATTTAAAATATCCCAATGCCATTGTAGATGAAATGAACAGTGTGAGTAGCACGTGTTCATTGCCATAGAATGAAGCAATGAAGAACCCGTTCCAAATTATATCTCTCTCTTTAGATCATTAGGTCTCTATTTTTTGTTTTCGTTTGTCCGTTCTTCACCAGAACTCTACATCTAAGACACAAAATAATAGGTAAGATATTTATTTTTCCAACTAGCTGACAGACCAAAAAGAGACTTTTTAGCAGATGCTACCATTTAAAACCATTATTAACCCAATTACTCATACTGTAATATCAACTTTAAATAAACTAAAGAGAGCGATACAGTTAGAAATAAATAAATGGAAATTTGTTCTCCACAAGACACCTGATCATGTATGGAATCCAAGTAGGACTTAGCTAACTGAGAAACAGGGTACCGAGCGAAGTCCCAATGATGTAAAACTCTTGCAGGTATGACTGCCATCTCATTCGTATGGCATGAAGAACAAAACAGCTGGCAGGTGTAATCGCAGAGTCGTGGCTTGCCCCATCCAAAGCTCTGTACAAAGCCTTTCATCAGAGTTTTCTGATCATCAAAATGTCTGTAACATCCAGCACAAGCATAATGCTGCAGCTCCAGTATCTGTTTTGTAGATTTGTATGGTTGAATTTCAACAACAAGTGATATGGTTTTCCCCAAAGAGGACAAATTCTGTGTGTCAGTCACCCTTGCAATATCAGATGATCGAGGTACTGCAGTACCTAATGCAGGAGAATGGGAGTTTGATTCTTGAGGGGACAAAAACCAAATTAATGCACTTGGATTTGTTGATGAAACTCTTGAATGAAGAATAGAACATAAACACTCTTGAATCAAAACACTTCTTTCAGCAATAATATCAGGAGAAGCACTGCCAAATAACTTTCTTGATCTATTATCAACAGAGGACCAGGGAGAGGGTAAAGTCCAGCCATGATCAGCAAATGATGATTTCAATTGACAATATAGTGCATAGAAATCTCGATAGCGGCGTTCAACATCCCACTGTTTCTCGCCACTCCATACTCTAATTTTGTATACAGTGTACTCCTTCACCCCAACTAGTCTTTCACTGAGTGATACATCCCCTCTCTTTTGTCTTGCCCCAATCACTTCAACCCCATCAAATTTCAAGTTTTCTGGGTTAATTGGATCATAATTGTCCGTTCCTGAAATAGATGCAGTTGATCCTCCATCTCTTAATGGTAAAGATGGTAGTGACTGAGACATCTTATATCTATGAGTAAATCTAGCCCCAGGAGAGTCACAAGATTCAAGTAGTATTTCTTCCATTTCATGTACAACTTCATCATAGAAGTCATCTAAATCACGTTTTGCTAACTGCAAGTAAAAAAATTTGCAAGAATGTAAGTGCCACAAGATGGCTATTCAAAGAATGAGTACGACCTAATTGGAATAGATATGGACTTCATTTAAAAGGCACCACTAGTGTACATCAACCATACAATCACAAGGACGGGTGACTGCAAGAGGAACATTATTGGGACAGAGATCATTTGTTAAATCAGTAACTAGGTGATGATTTAAGGTTTTACAGGATTGGAGACATTATCCAAGGCAGGATAAAATGAGCAATTATTAAACATTGAAACTTATACTGACCTCAACTGGCAAAAGATGACCTTTTGATTCAGGTACTAAAGTGGAATGTGCCATATCCTCACAACCTTCACTAGCATGAGTAGAAGGTCGATTAGTTAAAATATTACTGAGAGGGTCAAATTTGACTTTCAAATCTCCACGTCCTTGGCTTTCTAGGCCTTGGTGTACCATCCCACTGTTATCCTCAGTTTCTAGAATTTGAGGTTGCTCAACTGAATTACTGTCCACAGAGCATGTCTGCTGCTTGAATGGAAATTTCTCTGTTCCTATATCAATTCCAGGAATATCACCAACAAGACATTCATTATTATATGTATTTTTATCAGCATCTCCTGCTTGATTATTAACAACAAATATATCCTTTGCATCTTGATCTAATTCAACACCGTATGAGAAATCATCTTCAGTTAAAAAAGTACTATTTGTGATTTCCTTCAACTCATTAGAAGCCTGGACTTGACAGATAGCCACGGGAATGTCCCTCACTTTAACCATTTCCTTTGGTCTTCCAACAGTTGGGACAATCATACAATCCCCATGACTACTGTTTACTTTCTTCAGAAAATTTGTGCTAGCTTGATCTTCTTTGCAGGCTAAGAGCATCTGTGTCCCATCTTCTCTAGCCATTTCACTAACAATTTGATCACCATTTACAGTCATAGAAGAAGAATTCAGATTCTGATGTTTCCTTTCCTGTAATGTGTCCACAGTCAAGTAATTTGGAGAGAATCCCTGAGTTTCACACTCAAAAACATTCCAATCGTCGGAACCAAAAGCTACGGATGAATTGATAAGCAATGGATTTTCATTCACCGTGTTAGTTTCTGGGAAAGAGCGTGCATTTCTAAGCAGGAAGGTTTCATCCATATGATCACCATCGGACAAAAAATTATACATTGAATCCTCACTCTCCGAATGCTCATTTTGGGATCTATCAACTTCCATATCCAATTCACCATTAGACTCTTTCTCAACCATGCAAGGTAGAAGACGTTCTTCAAACCTTTGTCCTAATATCATACCATTCTCAACCGCACTTCTCTCTAAACATCCCACATGAACTTCTTCGCTTGTTGCTTCTCCAAGAACAGCACCCCCCGCCATTCCCAATTCACTGGCTTTTTTCCCTATAATGGACCCTTCTTTCTCGCCTTCGCTGCTCTCTACCTTCTCCGATCCATTAGTCATACCTACACCACTCAATAAATCCGATGTGCTCTCAACCTTCCAACACAAAATTTCCTCATTAGCTTCAAGTGAATCCATGAACTCACCCGTTCCATACAAATTCAACCCGTGAGACCGACACTTCATACTCGACTCTTCCGTAGTGACTTTATCACGCAGCTCCATCTTTCTGTAGCCTAATATATTCGTATCCAGCGAATTCATTTCACTCCCTTCCAAACTGAAGTTCTCAAGGCCGCCATCATCGCTGAATCCAAAGTTCCTCGCATACCCAAATTCAGACTCCGAGAAGTCGTTGAATGTTGTAATCGTGCTACGCATAATTGGCGTTCCCATTGCCGAGTTTGCGCTGCAATACCTCTCGAACTCGGAATCTCCGCATGACGAATATCTCGAAGAAATTGGTGAAGCAACAGAGCCACCGTCGACATTCTGGGTACGCCAAAGTGGTGCCGGATCCAACGGATCGGAAGAGGCGACTTCCGAGAAGCCCTCACACGGCCCGTCTCCATTGATCATTGAAAACCATTAAAAATGAAGAAAAACCCAAAAACAGGACTTCGAAAGAAAAATCCAAGAAAAATAGGAAGAACAAAATCTAAAAACTAGAATTAATAAAGAATTCCTCCGGTTAATTGTATCACGCTCAAACAAGAACTAGATTGCGAGCATAATTTCAACCGGAACATGAGATTTGAGGAATAATAGCCAATCGTGGAATTAAGGGATTCACGAAAGGTTTGCTTCAACATCAACAAGAACAAAAGAGTAACTAGAGAGATCAGAGATCATCCACCGGATCAGATTGAGTGAGGTTTCGGTGCTAGCCAAGAAAGAGAGATGACACGAAGAATGGGAGCCGGGAGGGGAAGAATCGTCCTACGGTCGGATACGTCGTTCGCGAAATGCAGTT